TAGGTTTTTGTTCCATCAATTTAAAGCGGTATTAAACCCAAAGTCAAAAATAAAAATATATTGCAACTTACCAATCATTAGATGTGGTGGCTGCATTAGTTTTCTTTTTTTAGGCTTTTCCCCTAAGTTTTCACATGGCGATCTGGCCAGTAACACACCTCCTGTATTAGAGTGCCCCCACTCTGGATGAGGGAACACAGTGGGCACCTTTTGGACAGCAGTATTGTCAGTTTGGGGGGAGCAGAGTGTTAGATTTACTCGCAGATTTAGATTCACTAACAAATTATTTGGGGGAATAAGGATATTGTTTAGTGTCACACTACAGAATATGTAAATTAACATTTCATATTCCTACTATGTGCCTGCTGTACCATGTACGTATGAAAAAGTATCCTGTTCTCTTTCTGTTGCTTCCTTTGTGTTAAATCCCTGGTGTTCCTATCAGTACCTCTTCTTTCCTATTAAAGACTGACCACACTAAGCATGTGAGCACAGAGTGGTCAGTTCTCCAGCTGTGCTGGGAACTCCGTGTGCTCTCCTCCAATGATCAGACTTGTGCGCCCTCTTGCCGCACAGCCTTTCACTGGGAAGATCAGTGTACTGCTGTTTCTGCTTCCCTAGCTCTTATGTGGTTGAGGGTATGTAAAAACGAGTAGAGAAAGGTCATTGTGTAACAAGTCCTATATTACTCTTCTCGCTGAAAAGATGTGAGTGTGTGCTGTCCTACTGACCTAAAGGACACATAGCAGAAGGTACTAGTTTGGTTACGTGTGGCTGAAGTCACTCCATGCATTATTCTCGGGGAGACATCCAACCATCTAAGACCAGCATATTTCATAATAAGTCAGATTTCAGTTTATGCTCAAGTTGGATAACAGAGGATTTTTAATAGGTTTGTACTTCTTTACAGAAGCAGACTTGTCTGTATACATATTTCCGTATGTCCGCAATACTTGAGTATATAAAACGCATGACTTTTGCAGTACACTGTACTCTTGGCAGGTTTTCTATGTGTAGTGGTGGAGTGATTCTATGAGGTCTACCTCATTCTGTGCTCCCAGAATGGAATATGTCACACATGATGACAGTACAGTGTTTACAGTGCAAGTCACTGATGTGTCCCAGTGATGACGTCCCGGCAGTAGCTCAGGAACACTCTGTTCTCTGTCTCTCTTGTATTCCCAATGCCAGTAATTACAGATCCTAGTTATGTAACCCAAGTAATAGAGAAAGATTGACAGGCTTGGTATTCAGAGGGCTGTAGTAAGTATATGTGACACTGGACAAGATACTGTCATGTTCACTCTATTAAGTGTGTCCTGACACATTGCTGTCATTCCTTCCCTCCGAGACCTCAGCTGGTTTATTCGTTTCAGGTTTGCATGCTCTATATCTTCAGCACTGGAGGGATCCTCAGCACATGTTTCACAAGGGCGTCTCTGCTGTTATTAAGCAGCCGCATCACTTTCACGTGTCTATGAGGCATCTAGCAATGCTGATCTGATTCAGCCAGAAGCCCAGAACTTTCCTCAATAATGCAGGCAGCTTACCCCAGGCTGGGACAACCGATCAATACTTTGCCATTCTCTTCAAGTGGAACTAAATCCTTCTATCTTTACAGCCAAGGAAGCTGCCATCTTGGCCTCTGTTTGATCTGCAGCTGCCAAGGTGCTTCCAATGTAATCCATTATGATAAGGTTTGGGAGGAGAAGAGAAGGAGCTGTGACCGTGATCATTTACGACATGCCTTGATTGTAACTGATATGGAAAACTGTTTAATGTGATGAGTTTATTTCTGCTGGATCACAAACCATAATTGATAAAGCAATGCCATCTTCAGTAACCAATAGCAACCAATCAATTGGATCCCTCTGATCAAGCCCATATTCGGGGAAGTGTTAGAGAAGGGCTGCTGTGTGCTTTGTTTGCCTTTTAATAAAGTTGGATGTGATCTCACATTATCACTGCGAGTCTTCCTGCTTTCCTGCAATCAGATTTGATTTTACGAAGGTTACATCTGTTAAATCAGAACGAAACCTAACTTTTAGAAAACTGCGAGCAGACTGCTCTTTATTGCAGAAGAGGCGTGCTATGTATCTTCTACAACAATACACACTTACCTGCCTGCTTTTTGTAATCCAATGGTGCCACCATTGATTTCGAAATTTGACCAACCAAGCCTTCGATTTCCCCTCCTGTTGCTACAGAAAAGAATTTTCGTGGCTAATAATTTTCTTTTCTTTCCAAGTCGCAGCTCATTTCTTTATTACATTTCTCGCACGATTCTCTCATCATTGATTAGTAATTTGTTTGTTTTTCCAACATGCCCGATCACTCAAATTCAATGGTCACATGAAAATCGTCCGATTCTGTGACCCACTGATGGTGCGAAATTCAAATGAAAATTCTTAGAAAAGATTTTCGAAAGAAAATTCTTTCTGAATTCGACCCGTGTATGACCAGCTTAACTCAGTCAGGAATTTACACTGTTTGTATAGTAATCAATAAATGTAATGATTAATAAGAATATAGTTCTATTCATTTGTATCCCTTATATTTGTCTGAATTTCAACTTCAATATGGAGTGATGTATTTCTATGGGGCTACAAAGCATGTAATGTCTGGACCGCTGCCCTAAGGGCAAGGCCTACATTGTTGCTTACTTCAAACATCAAGTCTAGAGCTAGATAGGAATGTAGACTTCTGAAGCCCTCACCTTCGTAACAGGAACATTCCCCATGCCGACTGATGTGGCCTTCAAAGATGCTTTCTAGCATTACCGGATGGTAATGCAAACCTTCTGTTGTGTGCAGACATGTTAAACTATCTTTCAGTGCGATAATTAGGGAGAGCTTGTTCCTCCTTTTATACTGCGTTATTCCTTTCCATTTATGGCTTAACACATTTGTATGCTTTTCCCAAGGGCACTGATGCTGTCTGCTGTTGGCAAGGTTGTCTGGGCTGCTTTCTAATGAATAATCCCCCTTTCCCATGTACTATCTACACAGAGTTTTCCCTATTATACACATCATTGGTTGGATAATATCTGTCACACACATGAGATGTCCCAATAAAGTCCATAACTATGTGAAATGCAATAAATGGCTGACAATATGCCAGGGACTGCGTGTTCACAACAGATGAAACCCTGCAGCGATAACAGTCAATATTTGTGCTCAGTATAAAGCTTTCAATAGCAGGATTTGAACTTGTCACTGAGATTTTCCAGCTATATCTTAGGGGTCCATGTGTCAAACATTTGCTATGTGGCCATAAATGAGAACCATATTGTTTGTAATGTGATTGTGTCTAATGATCATCAACTCCACCTAGTGGCCATAATGCAGTATGATTGAGGTATTGAAATGTACTGCATTATGGCCAGTAGATGGAGCTAATAATCATAGGAGATAATCGTATTACAAATGATATGGTGATTATTTGCGGTACATGTGCGATAAGTTCACTTTTGCAAAAAAAAAAAAAAATGCCCATTTTTTTTTTTTTTTTTTTTTTTTTTTTTTTGCAGGTAATTCTTTTTTGTTAGGGACCTGTAAAGCACTGCACCCACGATCAGCAGATCAGGCAGTTACAGTCTGACAGGAAGCTCAATAAACTACTTAAAGTGACCACTTTTTTTCTTTAGTTTGTGACAGTTATAGCTGCAGTCAAAATGGGGACTCGGGGAGGGGGCCTGGGGAGGATGTGGAAGGCTGCAAGGGGTGGTGCATTTGTAACATGTTACCCCCTGAACATAGGTGTAACATGTTACAAAAGGTGAACTTATCCTTTAAGACATCCACATGGCATATTTGTTATACGAGGACTCCCTAGTGTAATCAATTTAGTGCTTCATCGTTTATTTCCTTGAACATATATCTTCCACTGATTTCTTTTCTGAGTATAAATTTGATGTAAAAATGCTTTACATTTACAATATGCCAGTCGATGGAGCCTGGATGCTCCCAGGTGATTTAAATGTACCTATAACCAAAACATTTTCTTTTTACAATTTGCATAGACTAGGGAATATTAATTTTATGCAATTTTATTTTTATATAAATATTTTAGGTTTTCAATCATGTCCTATCGCCTGCAGCGCTGATCGAGCAGGGAAAATGAGGGCCGTAGATCGACGTCTGCACAACCTCCTTGCCCATAGATGGATCAAAATCTGCCCGGTCCATGCTGAACTGGCTGAGTTTCGATCCATGTATGGGTGACTTAAAGTGTTACTAAACCCACAACAGTAAAATCGGTCTGTATATGCAGTAAAGCATACTTGTTATATTCACTGTGGAACCTAAGGGGTTAATCCTCTGCATTGTGTAAAAAGGCCATTTGGTCCTGTTTTCTCTGTCCCTCCTTGTTCTAATATCCACCTGATAAGACAGACTGAACCAGTAGTCACTCTGCAGGTTTTGTTTTTCTTGAGAGAATACATGTGATCAGCAGTGGGCCAATCAGTACTGTCCAGACAGAGGGTCAGGGGTTCTGCATCCTCCTAGAGTAGAAATGAAACTCCTCCTACAAGCTTTAACTAGTGCTCTGCTGCAGTCACAAGACTGCTCTAACTGCTGATGAGAAAAGGTATTTAGCAGTTTATATTTACTAAAAATAATTGCATATCCATGTTCTGTGTACTGTGGGAAACCAGATATAGTGAATGCAGGGTCCTGGGTTTAGTAACACTTTAGGAAATGCCACACATTTCATTTGGGCACATCCAAATGAAATACTTTTTTTTTTTTTTTTTCCCCCCAAGGACTGCTATAAGATGATCTGTTCCAACTTGCTTCTCTTGTTACACAATAAAATGATGAAAAAATGGCGTGCAGCATGGTTTATTACGTGTAAAAAATGCAGGCCAACATTTCATTATGCATACGTACTCCCTGCTGGATGCAATTTACAGCAGATACTGTAAAAGTTAGATATTTGCATTATGGTAACAACATTGCTTTGCCTTACATTAACCATTCATATTTCTTTATTTACAGACTTTGGTTTTGGCAACTTTTACAAGACTGGAGAGCCTTTAGCAACGTGGTGTGGAAGCCCACCATATGCTGCTCCAGAAGTGTTTGAAGGGCAGCAGTACGAGGGACCACAGCTGGATATCTGGGTAATGAATTTGGTGGATTTGGGATGTTAAATCATAGAAGTGTACTTTACCTATCATATAAAACTGAGGAAAGCAAAGCACCTGCTCGCGCTGGTGTTACTCATTTTTTATCTTGATAGCTATATAATAATCTTCAAATTAAAATAGACCAAACTAATTATCTGTGTGATTTAAAACACGAGTCACTTACAGCTGGGATGTGTCGTGCTCAGCCGTTTGCGATCCAGGTCTTGTATCACCCGAGGCAGGACTTATTTATCACCTCCCCCCCCCCCCCCCCCCCCTTCCCAGTAAGCTGAATAAGTAATTAATGGAGGTATGCAGTGATTTCAAGGAGCTTCATTTGCTAAACAATGCTCACTTGACAAAGTGTATATTCATATTGCAAACAGAGGGCTTTACTCTGCTACCATCGCAAATGAGCTTAGTGAATAAGGTGAAGCTGTTCACTACACTCATCCAATCATGTGAAAGCCTTTTCTTTTTCTTCTTTCTAATTTCTCTTGCAGATTGATCATCTTCATCTCACTGAACTCTCTGTTATTTATATATATATATATATATATATATATATATATATATATATATAATATATATTATATATTTGGGCCATTATTTGGATATATATACTACATGCTTGGGGCTGTGTTTGCTTCTGCACAGGGAAGCAAATCAAGGACGTGTGCAAGGTACAGTTGAAACGTGCAGTCCGTCAGTGCTGATTCCCTTGCTAGAGCCATGGTTGAAGTTGGAGTGTCGCATCAGGTATACAGTGGGATGGCAGTGCAATCAAGCATAAGAAGCTTTGAATTCACTATTTTTAAAAGAAAAAGGATGTCTGTCAGCCACAGAAAAGACATTTGTGGTTATTTCTATTATAACTGTTTTACAATGTCAAACTGGCCAAAACACTCAATTTCAGTGGGGGTTTGAATAATTTTGGACACAACAATCGATCGATTCAGGCAAAGGCACTGTTGAAACGCTACCTGGTCGTGCAGAAAGACGCCATTTGTATCGGATTTGATCAGGGTAGAAAAATTATTGAACATTTTGCATCAATGGGCAAGACTGAGACGCTTTTACCATGTATTTGATCGTGGTTCGATTAATCAGATTATCAGTTTTCATGGTGGAATCAGAGATTCGATAAGTAACTTGCAATCATATCTTTCAACTGTTAATTGAAATCCACTTCCACATGTGCTGCATATTGATTGGGTTGGCAAATATAGATTGATTATTCCTATCAGAAAAAAAATTGCTTATTTAGCGGAGCGTGTATGGCCACTATACCAATGAATTTCTTATTGGCTACTTTTTGGTCTTTTGAATACACTGTTAAATGTTTTTAGATATATCTGGTCAATAAGTAAAAAAAAAAAAAAAAACATGGTTATTTTGATAGAAATCATGTGAGCTGATACATTCCGGTGCATTCCAGCTGCACACAAGGAGAGGATATGGAGATGAGATGAGGTGTGTGCCGGGGCGGACTGACCATTGGGAAACTCGGGCAATGCCCGAGGGCCCAGGGTCAGTAGGGGGCCCTATGAGATGCCCCTGGTACCTTTTTCATAGGCTTTTTTGAGTGTGGGCAAGGACACAGGGGCCCCATGATCCCCTATTGCCCGGGGGCCCCATGAGTTGTCTGTCCGTCCCTGGGTGTGTGTGTTTCTTTGTGAGCAGGGCTGACACCACAAGCTTTGGAATTCCAAGCCAAAAATATTGCATTGTTATGTCAAAGAAAAACGTAGAAGTCCTATATTTTTTGCACACCAACAGTTATTTTTCTGTACTTGCAGTAGTATAAAGAGATAAAACATGGGGGAATGTGCATGTATTGCAGAGATGTATGGAATCTTTTTGTTTGTTTTTTTAATTTGTCTTGAAATAAGCTTTAGCAGCCTCTACTCTTAATGAGCCCTTATGTTTCTTTTCTCTGGTAAAAATCTAAAATCTATAAAGGCCTGGCAGGGACAAATCAGCATATATCTGACTGACATGGAAATAATGAATCAGGCGGCAATCATACAGCACTCCCATGCCAGAAAATAATCACGTAGATCTACTTCTCTGTTTGCAATGTAATGAATCTAGCTCTGTTTGGCAGCAGTTCCCATGTTAAGATGTAAACTCCACTTCATATATTATTTGTATTGCATATGTTAAATTTAAACCAATTTCAACTTTTATACCCAACTTAAAAAAAGGAGTGTGACATTCAAGTTGACATGGGCATGTGCACAACTCATTGCCAAGATCCGCAAGTGTCTCCCGGAGATTCAATACAAGTATTTCCCCCCCGGCACAATTTCTGCTCCTTTTGTTTCAGAATTGTCTCTTTGATAGTCTGATTCACTTTAATCCCTTTCTCATTTATTTATTCATGTTTCATAGCAAATTACGTGAGTCTGTATTCATTTAAATTAATACAAAGGGAGGCGATATAAAAGGAGAGCTCCGCTAAGCTCTGCTTGCATCCAAACTGGCCAAATAACCTCGATCCAATTTCAGCAAAACAATAAAAGTTTCCGTGAAATGATGCTTATACCTGACATACTGAAGTGTGACGTGGGGTGCACCTGGGCATGAGACCCGGATGTTTTAAGAAGAGTGGCCCCAAGGCAAACCTGTCGTGGGTGAGCCACTTCAGTTCTCAAAAGGATAGACCCCTGTCCTCTTCAGTCCAGGATTCTTGCGGTATAGCCTGCTATGCCTTGTAAAAGGTCCTGTTACACATTATTGTAATCAGCGCAGTGGGTCCCTTTCTCCAAATTCTTTCTTTCTAGGGTTCTGCTGTGCTGATCCCAGTGATGATCTGTGGTACTTACTGGTACAGCAGGACCCTTCATAGACTCTGCTTTCCTAGTGTCCCACTGTACTGATGAGCAGTGGTACTTGTCAGCTCAGCAGAACTTGTTCTCTGAAACTCCAAATGCAACACCACATAAACTAGGGTGACAGGCAGCAGAAGTCCAGGACTTTTGGGGACTTTTCTCTGGACTATTTTTTTATAAATAGTGCCAATGTACATTGTGTTAATGGGCTTATGTGCCTCATTCAGCCCTGCTGCAGGCAACCTGTCAAAATCTGAAAGGCTGACAGCTACTGTGGCTGGCTGGAGCACCTAGAACTAATGCATATTGTGTTAAAGGGCTTGTTTATAAAAACTGAGTAGTTGCCACAGGCCTGTACCTACATTTAGGGCTGAATAATCGGAACGCAGACTTTTAACGTTTTGGGCATTCAACACTGGGTGCTTACTGCCCTAAATGTTCATACTGCTAAATGTACCATCCAACCGCAGCAGTTGTCTGCCTCCTGTAGAATTTGACAGGCTGCCTGTAGGGGCGATGTGCCCTCCACCACAGCTAAACGCCCGGGGTGCATGAGGCCTTTCCTTGACCTTATAGCTGAGCTTCATCAACTGTTATCCCAAAGTCCAATAAGAATGCCCTTACTGGCGACTGAGACCATCTCATTGGACGGTGGAATAGCAAATGATGGTTGTAAACCTCAGAAATGAAATATGAACAAAGCTTATCCTTCTATAGTCTGTACTTATCTCTATCCAAAGCAATAAGTGTCATTTCTATCTGCTGCCTCATTCCTTTGCTTAGCATGTGTCCTTTTTGATAAGTTTTCCTAACACCAAGAGAAAAAAGGTGCCAGGGGAGGGATCTCCAGCAGATTGACAGCCTCAACTCTGTTCCTGTGAGCTGTGTGAAGGAGGTGTGTCCGTTCCCTCCAATCTGTTCTCAGATCTCCACCACCTTTTTTTCTGACCTCTCACACGCTTTGTAAATTCTGGACTTTGAAGGGCTGTAGAGAAGACTACAGATAAATAGGTACAACTTATCTGGATTTGTTTCATCTCTGTGTATCATTTGAGGCCAGTCATTTCACTGGGTGTATGTAGGGGTTTACTACCACTGTAAATGAAATCAGAGAGGGGTGCAGAAGAGACTTTTTTCTGGCGAGCAAAGACAACAGCTGAGTTTTTAGGTAGGACTTAAAACCTTTATACATATTGAAATGGAGTACAATATCTATTTTTCTTACTACTTACTGAATGATAAATAACTTATCTTTAATTTTCTTCTTTTTTTTTTGCAGAGTATGGGTGTTGTACTCTATGTCCTGGTATGTGGTGCATTACCATTTGACGGTCCTACACTCCCCATCCTGAGACAAAGGGTTCTGGAAGGGAGATTTCGAATACCATATTTCATGTCTGAAGGTAAAGTTTGCTTTTCTTGACAAAACGAGATGTAATTGCTGATAATATAAATATGATAATTATTGAATGAGTTTCTTTTTTTTTTTTTTTTTTTATAAACTGATATTATGCTGCCATGACATGTACCAGAAACTAATAAAATCAAAAACCACTCTCTTAATAAATAAATCCAATTCCCCACAGCACCATCAACACCTTCACCCCAAAAGATGTACAAAAATTTTATGTACCAGAAACTGATCTATTTAAAGTGGTATTAACAAAAATATAATATATTTCAGCTTACCAATCGCTAGATGTGGTGGCTGCATTAGTTTTCTTCTTTTAGGCTTTTCACCTTGTGGTCTGGCCAGTAACACATCTGTATTATTAGAGTGTCCCCACTCTGGATGAAGGAGCACAGAGGAAACTTTGGACAGCAGCAGTATCACCCTGGGGGTGAAGGGCAGTGTTAAATTTAATATCAGATTTAGATACACTAACAAACTGAAGCCACGCTGCAGTTACAGCAACCATGTTTTTTTCTTTTTGTTTTCTACATGGACAAATAAAAGCTGATCATTGTAAGCCCCCCTGTCAGTGGTAAATTGTTACTCTACACACTAACTTCTACATTTGTTGGAGAGCTTGAAAAACAGACTTACTGGCAGGATCACCAGGTGAAAAAAAGGAAGTAAAGCCTAAAATAGAAAATTAATACAGCCATCACATCTAAGAATCGGTAAGCTGCAATAAAATGTTTTTGGGTGTAATAGTGCTTTAAATTATTACTGTTCTACTGTAAATTTTGCTATGCCTTTTCAATTTTAAGGATGGATTAGTAATGTAGGAAATATAGGTAATGTGTGCAAATGATTGTCACCCTCTGTCACATTCTGCTAATGCAAGTCTTGAAAGTCCCTTGTGATGTCCAGGATATGTCAGGCTAAATACATTTCAGATCAGAATTGGCTTGGATTGCAACTCTCAACGGTTTTTTTTTTTCTTTGTTGCTTGCCTTGTCTTTCGCTTTATAAAATGGCAATTTTTTTTACTGAGGTGCATAATACTGTGCAGCAGCACAATATGCTCCAACCTTTTTGATAAAAAAGCCCTGCCACTTTTCTGCATATAAATTTGTATGAATGTGTGTGTGTGTGTGTATGTATGTATATATATATACACACACACACACATATATACATACATATACATATATATATATATATACACACATTTGGGAGTTAAGGTAAGTAAATTTAATAAGAAATTATTTTGTAGGGTAGGTAGTTTTTGTTTTGTTTTTTCTTACTAGCGCTTCACTTAGATACATTACATATGTTTGTCACTGCAAAGAATTTAAATTACATTTTCATAGCATATGGATGTAGGAAAAATAGTTTTAAAAAAAGGATGACTCGCACAAATATTTCTTCTTTTCGACTCTGCCATGATCTATAAAGAGGTGTATCAATACTACTTTGCCAGAGTGTTTTTTTTCATGTACACTTTGGTACTAGGAGGCATTTCTTTAAGAACTGTGAGTATTCTTCGATTGGAATATGCCTGGGTATAGCCCACACTGCCTGAGTCACCTGAAATGTGAGGTTGCATACACGTGTCTCGAAATCCAGCAGTGCATCAGCAATGTATGTCTAGCCCATTTTAATTAGAAGGCAGACAAGATTTTCACATGCTCCATAATAATAAGGTGGGAGCCAATAGCCAAGACATGGGATGAGGAAACACACGAGTTGAGCAATAGTAAGGGTTGTCAGGTGAACACGTGTTTGTTATTCCTAACTACTGCACATTAATTTGACACTGTCTTCACTGGGTGCCTTGGAGGTGCCAGGATTTCACGCTTTACAGCATGTGTACAGAATATTTCTGTGTAGTATTTAAAGCCGATTCCAGTTATATCTGTTTTCTCCTACATCTTCTGTGATGGCACATCTGGGCGTTGTGGCTCTGCAGAGACTGACGGACTGTCTTTCTGTGACCTCTAATGTGAGGTTGTATTGTAATCGATTTCATTTAGGGTGCAGGAAGGGATGCCAGGGCTGAAAGCAGCGACATATTGAACAAAATGTTTCATTGCAGTTAATGAAGATCCATAGTCGCAGCATACTCGCTCCTTCTTTAACATCAGCATTGTCAGAACAATTCAGGCAATAGTTATTATTGAGAATTCATTATAAGATTACTTGTAAAATCTCCCTTCATGTTGTGAGTGACGCCACTTTGTTGGCCATTTCTTTTATCAACTTCCTGGATTCCCTGATTGCCTTGCAGCTTCTCCTCTGTTGTGTTCTCTAAATTTCCAAGGACTAAATATCCCACGATCCCACCATGCTGCCCACAAGCAGTGATTCCTGTACTGACTCCAACTCCTAAAACTCCTCCTCAGCAGCTTTGTAGTTCAGAAGGCAGGCTCTGTGAAATGTGTGACACTGCAGTACCTACTCACAGGGCATAGTGACTGTGTCACAGAGTTAGATGAAGGAAATGTTTGGGGGTCCTCACACAGTAAATTTACAAACTTCAAGATGATTTAAGTAAATAGTAGTAGGCTAGAAATAATTCAACTACATTGTGGAAATTAATATATAAAATGTTAACCTTAGATGCACTTTAAACCAGTGGAGCTCAACCTTTTGAGAGCCACTTAGGTGATTTGGTAACTGGCCGTGGGCCACGATGAAATCGTTCCAAATGTTGCATTTTTTTTTTTTCTAATAGCACAATCCACATTTTCCTGCAGCTGCTGAATGCCGGCAGGAGGAGGAGGAGAAGCCAGATTTCAGCGGATGCTGGAGGATAATTGAGAGGATCGGGTCCTGTATATGCCACCTCTCCTGTCCAAGTGCAAAACAGAATGTGATGGGGAGGCTGCAGGGGCCAGTGGTTGGGGGTGTGTGGTAAAAACACATCTCAACTATGGGGGTTTACCACCCCCCAAACTACAAATGTAAACGAGTCCTTACTGTCCTGAGCCCCCTGTAAGGTTGCTCTCACACTGATGTGCTGCAATTTACCTGCACCTGCGGCTTTCCTGCGGGTTAGCTGCACTTTGCCATAGATGTAGACTATATCTTATGGGTCTCAGAAAGCACACCAAACCTGCAGGATATAATAGAACTCTTTGGCAAAGCACAGCTAACCCACAGGGAAGCTGCCTTATAGTTAACCCTTTTATGGGTCCATTGCAAAAGTGCGGTGTATGCGATTTGTAATGCACTGACCTTTTTTTCCTGTTCCAGCATCTGCTGGCATCGCTCCCCAGGTTGCTAGAAAGGAGCCAGCACTACAGAGGAAGCATCGGCTTATGCTGCTCCATTACTGGTGCCGGCGCGATGCACTCTGATGCTCTGGGATGGTGGGTTGGCAAATACCAGATCGCAATCAACGGGTTGCCAACCCCAGGCATGTGCTTCCCTGGTTTCAGGTTGAGGGCCATTTCAGAAGGCTCGGAGGGCCACAGCTTGAGCACCCCTGCTTTAAACATTACTTTGTTTTTTGATTTTAATACCACATTTTTTCTCATATTTTTATTTATTTTGTGTGACCATGTTAGACGCTTTACACAACAAGACACATAACTTTGCACGTTGGTGTTACATTTACATTAAATAAAATATTTATTCAAGCTGTCACGTTGCCTACTGACAAACAAAATAACAGATTTAGCTGATAGTCCACTCCCTTTGTTGGTAGTTCCCTTAAAAGTAAACCCACAACAGTAAAATCAGTCTGTATATGCAGTAAAACATGCTTGTTATACTCACTGTGGTTAATCCTCCACATTGTGTAAAAAGGCCGTTTGATCCTGTCTTCTCTGATCCTTCCCATCTTCTACTGTCCCCAGTCCATCTACTGATAGTACAGAGCTCTAGGAGTCACTCTGCACATGATCAATTTAGTGTATATTGTTAGGTTTTATTTTTTCTTTGGGAGAGTGCATGTGATCAGCACAGGGCCAATCAGCACTGTCCAGACAGAGGTCAGGGTTTATGAAGCCTCATAGGAAAATCAGAGGAGAATGGAAACTGAGGTCAATTGAAAAGGCACGAACTGTCAGATATCCATAAAACTGTGCAGTTTATGAGAGCGAATAATTCAAATCTTGCCTAAGCTCAGTCTTGTCTGGCTATCTAATACATTGGGAATTTTGGTTGTTGACATTCCCATTACCCATACGGTTTCTGCATATCTGACCTTTTGCCTGGGTTCACACTGATGCGGTGTGGAATTTGCAGCGGTTTTTGTGTGAATTCTGCACTGTCATAATTCCACCCCGTTTGTGCAAACCGCTGCGGGGTGTGTGTATGTTAAGTTAACAACACCCTGAAATCGGTCTGCAAAACTCGGTGCAATTTGCAGAATCTGATCGCATGGGTATTCTAGTACAGACCAAAAAAAGGGTCCTGCACCTTTTTGGTGCAAATGCGGTGCAATTTGAGCCATACAAAATGTATGGCTCAAATCGCACTGCACAGAATTTGCATGTGATTTGCACCGAAATGATGGCGGTTCCTGTGCGATTCACATGTGATGTGCCGCACCGCACACGTGTGAACCCAGGCTAAATGGATGTAACACGGAGGTCGTTGCATTTGCGGTCTTAGTAACTTCCACATCATCCATCTTTTTGTAGGCAATATGTTCCTGACTGGACAGACCTTTCCACCACCATAGTCTGCACACATCTGCTTATGTTTCTGTAGATTAATTAACTCTTGATAATTAAAAGATTGCAGTATTGGTTTGGTTTGCATGCGTGTGTTTATTTTTCAAGCTATTTACAAAGCACTTTAACTGCGTGCATTGCACTGAACGTCAATTAATTTTGTGTTTGCAATCAAAATACCTCTCCTGGGATCTTGTTTGGTAACGCTGATGGAAAAAGGATGCCATTGTGTCATGGCGATTCTACTCTTTAATGCATGGACTTAAAGTGTTACTGAACCCACAGCCCTAAATCAGTCTGTATATGCAGTAAAACATGCTTGTTATACTCACTGTAGAACCTAAGGGGTTATTCTTCTGCATTGTGTAAAAATGCTGTTTGATCCTGACTTCTCTGATGCTCCCCTTCTTCCAGTGTCCCCTGCTTATCTCCTGATAAGACATATCATGTGGAGACACTTTAAAGTGGTTCTAAAGGCAGAAGGTTTTTCACCTTAAATATATTCTGTGCATTAAGGTAAAAAACCTGGGTGTACCCACCAGTCCCTCCTTATACTTACCTGAGCATGATCTTGATCTAGTGATGTGCACGAGAGCAGCAGCTCTCCCGAGTCTCTCTCTCGGGACAATGTCCATTCACAGGAAAGCGGCTTGGGAGTGAGCCTACTTAAGTGCCCCCATAGCAAGAGGCTTGCTATTGGGGGCATATGGCAGAGAGGAGGCAGAGAGGAGGAGCCAGGACCACTGGCTGTAAACCCAGAAAGAAGAGGATCGGGGCGAAACCATTGCACAGAGCAGGTAAGTATAATGTTTGTTATTTAACCGCTTGCCTACAGGGCACTTATACCCCCTTCCTGTCCAGGCCAATTTCCAGATCTCAGCGCTGTCACACTTTGAATGACAATTGCGCGGTCATGCAACACTGTACCCATATGACATTTTTATCATTTTTTGTGACAGAGCTTTATTTTGGTGGTATTTAATCACCTCTGGGTTTTTTTTTATTTTTTCTTAAACAAAAAAACACTGAAAATTTTGAAAAAAAAATGAAAAAAAATTTCTTCGTTTTTGTTGTAAAATTTTGTAAATAAGTGATTTTTCTCCTTCACTGATGTGCGCTAATGAGGCTGCAGTAATGGGCACTGATAGGCTGCACTGATGGACACTGATAGGTGGCACTGATGAGGAGGCACTGGTAGGTGGCACTGAAAGGCAGCACTAATATATGGCACTGTTAGGCGGCACTGACGGGCACTGTTAGGCACTGACGGGCACTGTTAGGCGGCACTGACGGGCACTGTTAGGCGGCACTGACGGGCGCTGTTAGGCGGCACTGACGGGCACTGTTAGGCGGCACTGACGGGTGACACTGAAAGGCCGCTCAGATGGGCACTGATATGTGGCATTGATGTGGCACTGGCAGCTGGCACTGATGGACACTGACAGGTGGCACTTCTTGGGCCACACTGATCATCAGGGCACACTGATGATCAGTGTACATGTCCCCTCCGCGGAATGCCGATTACCGGCTCTCCTCTCGAGCTGTCAGCGTGACAGCTTGTGAGGAGAGAAATGCCGATAACCGACATTTCCCTGTTTACATGTGATCAGCTGTGATTGGACACAGCTGATCATATGACCGAGCTGACATCTTCAGCTCTTTTCGTAGATCGGTGATCCGCTGTGTGTCTGAGGGACACAGCGCACCGCCGATCACCGCGTGCTCCGTGAGCTGCGCGATGAGAATGGGAGGGACGTCATATGACATCCTCCCAGAACAAGAAAACCACCTTGCACCCATCATTGGACTATATGGCAGGCGGGAGGTAGTTAAGAAAAAAAAAAAACAACGTTTAGAACCTTAAAAAAAGGTAATTTGGAGGAACTTTGCTTCTTTATTTCTCTATTTTTTCTTTTTAAGTTCATTGTGGCTCAATGGGTGTCTATTGCCCAATGTGGCCCCTATTGCCCAATGTGGCCCTAGGTGGGCAATAATAACACAACAGATGTTCAAACGCTCCCTGCTCTATCCAATGTGTTTGATATGGTCCTCAGTATAATGCTTCTACTGCACTAGCCCAGTGTCATTTTTATGGTGCTTTTCTTTCCTAAATTTTTGTGGCAGCACATGGAACGCAAATTAAAAGATAATGTGTTGTGTTATGACTGCTTACTTCCATAGACTATGAATGAAATGTGCTTAGATAATGGAATAATCTGCCATCCCTGGGTTGTTGGCTGCTGTAGGTCAGGACTTGTTCAGTCTTTCTACAAAGAGGAGCCAGATTGCCCCCAGTTGTTTTTGCTCATGACAAAGAGAAAGAAAAACAATGACATTGACATTTGCTAGAGACAAGCTCCTTTGTGGATTTGCCAGCTCTGTCCTGCATTCTGTTTTGCGATGAAAACAATCTGTGATCAGTGATTTGCAAATTTTCCACAATGAGATTTTAAGACCTTTTTTAAGGGGTAAAACTGAGGGGTCCACTTTAAAGGATAAGTTCACCTTTTGGACAAAAATAATAAATGCACATTTATTTGCAGGTAAAAAAAAATGTGCATTTATTATTTTTGTCCAAAGGAGCCTGGAAAGCATTGCACCAGAAATCAGTAGACCTCTGATACCATGTAGGTCTCTTGCAGACCTGTCAGAATATCTGCTTGTCATACGTGATGTACGAACAAGCAGATATTCTGACAGGAAGCTTGAATGAACTACCATGGCTCTCCATATCGCCATGTTCATTGAAAACTACAAGCCCACAGCCACAAAGGCTTTTGGGACTTGCAGTGCATTCATTCAAGAAAGTGCTTCTGGGTCATCATTCACACTGGTTTCAAATTTGACAGATAGTACGGGGAAACTTCTCCCCGTATTATCTGTAGGGGGGGGGGGGGGGGGGGCGGCGGGCACGTCTGCAGCTATGGGAACATGTTACATGTTCCACCCTAAAAACGAGTGAAACTTGTAACATGTCCCCTAAGGTGAACTTATCCTCTAACAGAAAGTGATTATTGCTCTTCACAAGGTTATTCCATATGTACATCCAAAAAATGCAGGCCACGGTGTGGAGCCTACGGTGTTCTGCGGAGATCCCTCTTCAGATGGCGGAGTTCTCTCTGCTGCATTAAGCAGACAGCCTGTCACATTACCTTTTTTTTTTTTTTTTTTTTTTTTTTTTTTTTTTTTTTTACCCTTCTCTACTGTGGAAAAAAAAAACCTGTTAGGGTAGACTTCAAGGCAGACCTTCCATGACAAACGGGATATCCACTTCATTAAAAATCCACAACACAGGTTACTTTAAAAAGCCATGTGCAAACAAATAATTTATTATTTTTTTAAAACTAATGACTTGCCTCTTTTGCCAATTCTGGGAGGCACAGGTCACGCATGCCTCACGCTGCCCCGTTAGATAGTCGGGTGCTCAACATGCCATAAGTATGCACTCTTGCGATGGGCAGGGGTGCATTCTCTTGTGATTTCGAGATCCCAGCTCTGCAGGTGAGCATGGTGACGTCGTGCCTCCCAAAAGCGAAAAAAGCCAGTGCAAAGATTCTTTTTTTTTTTTTTTTTTCCCCCAGTTTACAAATAGCTTTTTAAAGCCATCTATGTTGGTAGGCAGGGGGCTTCTGTACGGTGTAGAAGGTCTGCTTTAAACAGAATTAGACCTCATGCATGCTGGGCATGTTACCCCTGTATATGAGGCTCCAGTGTTTAGATGTGGGTGGAAGGCACAAGTGCACTGTCCAGACCTGCTGCCAGCAATCTGTCAAACTCAGTGAGAACCTGACAGCTGCTGCGGCTGGACAGGGCCTCACCTAGCAGTATCTATGTTTATTGCAGTATGTGCCCAGGGACAAATGCTTGTAATGCAAGGAGCGTTCTTAGCATTAGTCTCTGGGCTCCCACTGCCCTAAACTTAAGTACCATTAGGTGCACCATCCAACTGCAGCAGCTGTCAGCCTCTTATAGAGCTTGACAGGCTGCCAGTAGTGAGACTGGATGGTTCAACTGTTCCTTCCACCCTCACCCAAGTCCTGGAGCCTCATGCACCGAGGCTAAATGCCCATTGTGCATGGGGCCCTAATGATAGCTGATGTCGTGAACCCTGCAGTGAGGCTGATGATCATATGATGAGTGTGGGCATGTAGCTTCCAATGTATAGTGTGAGAAGCACTCTGGCTGATGCAGATTATATCAGTATTCATTTAGCTCAGAGCAGTTATAAAGATTAATGTACTGTATATGAACACCTGCAGGTACCATAGAGTAGAATGTTAATCAAAAAAACGGGAGGTTCTTGTCCATAGCCACCAATCAATTTGAAACCTGTGCTTTGTATCTGGTGACTCTGAGTCAATAACTCAGCTTCTTAGCGATGACTCACGGATACACCTAGCCCCAGTCACAATCCTCAGCGCATGCAGCCTTGTTCTATGAACGGCACAACGGCTACAAAACAAAGAAAGGAGGCCATAACTCTTTGTTCAAGTGATATATATTGGAGGATTTTAGAAACTACAGTTATCACTATTTTAAATGAAGTTGCTTTTTTTGCATTATTAAATATTATAAATTTAACTGATGACCTAATCTACAGTTTGCTTCATCCGCATATATTTTTATTATTTATTGTCTCACGCATTTTTCAAAATCCATTAAATTCTCGTCAAACTTAACGCCCCTGCTTTGCCATAGTAGTCAGTAGAATAAGCCGTGGTTTTGACCTTGCTCTAGAATTGCCCCTGAGATTTCCAGCTTATAGCATCATGACAGAAATGCTTCTGGGTCATCATCGTCCTTATCCATCCACCTCCTGTCTTTGCTGATGTTTACAAGCAAAGAGAAACGGGATTAATAACGGAAACAAAGCCATAATCTTTCTCTAGATTCTTTGTGGTGGAAACAGAGACCCCAGGCTACATGTGTGACGTAGAAAGATTCATTAAAGCATGATCCCCTGAGGCTCCTCTGATATATTTAACCCTTTTCTACATGTTACGACACGATAAGTCATTGACAGCTGAATGTTCATTTTCATGTTGGACAATTAATGTCACTGGGCTCAGCTCTGTCCAAGTATTGGGCATCAGGATGTAACAGCCAATTTTATAAATTTGTTTTAAACAAATTACCCTAAGTTGTAATTTTTCCTTCAGTTTATTTTTTCTCTTTCTTATTAGGAGACATTACACTTCTTAACAAGCTCAAAAAAAAAAAAAAAAAAAAAAAACTGCCACTAGCAGTAATAAGTTTCTATACGATTAAATGGAAAAAGAAAATATTCTGATTTTCTTAAGTTAATTTATTTGCACAAAGAATCTGGACTTTGGGAAATGTAAATTGTTTCCAGTTTAAATTTTGTAAACCTCTGATCTACGTGCTTCCTTCCACATACTTTCCCTTCTGCACTGCTTGGGACTATTCTTAAAGGATGGTTTAATTATTCCGCTTTTTACATTTTGTGGAAACTCCTACACTAAAATACTGCAGCCTTAAAGTATGAGTAAACCCAATCATTAAATCTCATATAAGCTCATATAATAGCAAATATGTTGCAAGCTCATATAATGGCAAATATGGTAATGCAATTTCAAACGTAATATTCAAAATGTTTAAATCTATAGCTCTCATTAAAATATTGCTTGGTGATCCGGCCATGTAGGTCCTTGTTCAGGCACTCCTTTTTATAGGGTGACAACACTGTCATGGTCTGCCAGTTGCACTCCTGCATTGTCTCAGTATCACATGGTCTGCTGATGAAGAGTAGAAGTGGCTATTTCAGAGCACATTTCGGAGACATAGTCCACTGTTACCCTTAGGAAACCCACCCTTAGAAATGTCATGCAGCACTGAGATGTAATGAAGAATAAAAAAAAAAGGTGAAAATGGATATTTATGAAAAAAAAAAACAAATGGCAGATTTAAACACAGTGCATTAAAATGTCATTCAGTAAGGGCTTATATCTACTTTAAATCTCAGCTCCTCTCTTTTTGTTTCAGCTTTTATGAAGAAGTCTTACTTTTCCTGTTATATTTTTTTTTTCCAATGACCTCATGGTGAAAATAGGAATATTAAAACTACAATGATGTGGTTTTCTCACTGGAACCCCTGAGTGATATGAGAAGCTTTTGAGTGGTCTAGCCGAATGGACCTAAATGGTACCAGCAGACTAGCAGAGAGCTAATGTGCCAGTTTTTAATAAAGGGCCAAGGTACATACCAGGAACCTACAGGCCAGTTAGCTTTATATCAGTAGTTTGTAAACTATTGTAGGGGATGATAAGGGGCCATATCCAAGAATTTGCTGATAAAAATAGTGTTGTCAGTAGTAACCAGCATGGATTTATGAAAGATCACTCTTGCCAGACCAACCTGTTAACATTATATGAGGAAGTGAGCTGTAATCTGGATAAAAAAAGCCTGTGGGTGTAGTGTATCTATATTTTGCTAAAGCATTTGGCATGGTACCGTGTAATTGCCTAATTTACCATTTTGAGGTCTGTTGACATCAGCGATAGTGTATGTACTTGGATAGAAAATTGTTTACAGGACGATCCAAAGGGTGGAGATAAATAGCAAAGCTTATGACTGGTCTGGAGTTGTGAGGGGGGTGCCCAGGGCTCTGTCCAGGGACCAATTCTGTTTTATAAATGATATAGAGTTTGGTGTAAATAGTTTAACCTTGGTATTTGCTGACGATATAAAGCTAAGCAGGGCAAAAACTTTGCAATGAGATATTGAAACTTTACAAGGAGATCTCAATAAAAGAGGTGGGCAACTAAATGGAAAATGAGGTTCATTGTAGGGAAATGTAAAGTGATGCACTTTGGGGGCTAAAAATATAAATGCTATATGCTAGGGGGAGGACTCCTGAGGGAACCAAGGATGGAAAAGGATCTGGGTGTCCTAGCCGACTTGCCAAGCTTCAGCAAGTAGGGCCAGCAGACTATTAGCGTGCATTAAAAAGGGGATATACTGAAGAGATAAATCTATATTTTTTATTACTTTACAAAACTCTGGTTTGGCTGCATCTTGAGTATGCTGTCCAGTTCTGGTCACCAGTCCTAAGGAAGGATTTGCTGGAATTGGAGTCCAGAGAAGGGGGCTGGAGGACCTCAGTTATGAGGAAAGGCTACACACATTAAGCTTGTTTTCCCTGGAGAAGAGACACTTAAGAGGAGATATGATCTTCTTTATTCAACCTTGCCAACTATGTAACTGTTTACCCACAAATTAAATTTTTACCAAGAGGATTGAACTGCTAGACATCAGGTTTCTGGGGGCCAAAAGGGAAAATGGGATACATTTGTTGTTTTCTCTTAGTAACATTACTTCCCCAGATTATCCAAAACAAAAATGTATTAGTTGATATGATGGTTGGATGGTAGCATTTTGTACTATTCCATTCCCTGTGGTTGATACTTTTTAATGTATCTTAAAAAAAAAAAAAAAAAAAGCAAAGAATACAAAAACACTTACAATATTTATTTATTTCAACTTTATCTAGAATGTGAGCACTTAATTAGGAGGATGCTGGTACTAGAGCCTTCAAAACGTTTGTCCATTGCTCAGATCAAAGAGCACAAGTGGATGATGACTGAGGTCCCAGTACACCGGCCTGTCCTCTACGCACAGAGTCAAGAAAAGGAGACTTCCATTGGAGAACACAATGAACAGGTCCTGAGACTCATGCATAGCTTGGGGATTGACCAACAAAAGACAATAGAGGTGAGACAACATGAAAAGTGATGGGAGGAGGTAGTATTAATTTCAAGCATAAACAAAAATTCACTTTTAGGATGAGTCTCATAAGTTTAATCACTCACTAGTTGGTTCTTCTCAAGCACTCCAGGACGTCCTCTGCATATGAATGTACTGGTCTATCCACCTGATGGTGATATTAGAAACCATTCCTACTTTACTTGAATTTGTTTCAAATTACAAACCATGCAACATACAGATTGAAATTCCATGGCAGACCTAGGAAACCGCTGCTGGATATCTATGAACCAGGGGTTGCTTCAAACCATTAGCATCTAGCAAAAAGTATAGTATTCGTTTTTGGTGGATGATATTTTGATGTTTTAGCTAAAGTATCTGAAGATTTGTTTCTTTGGCAGGAAATCTCAAATCCAAATTCAAATGTAAAAGACCACAAAGGCCTTGAGAGATAAGTTTGTAGGAGAAACAAAATTATCATGAAGAAACTTCTTTTATAGGGATATTCTAGAGTAACAGCCTTCATTAGATTTAGTTACATGACTTGTCTATTCCAATAAAATAGGACTATAAACATCATTATGTAGTGGTGGAACTGGAATTTACATTGACAATAAAGAGGGTTATGCATCGGGGTCACATTTTCTAAAATAATTTAGGATACCTAGAATAAAGCATTTAGTGAGAAATTTTGCCTGAGAGATTCAGATACAATGTGTAAATTGTTTCAAAATATTTTAACCCTGGTGTTCATTAGCCAAATTGATCTGTGTATGATATATCCCAATAGTATTAAACTTGGGATAGATCAGATGACCTGAAAGTTTGACTATTTTGTTTAATGCCTGTCTAGTGGCTGCAGTATGAAATCAGCCCATCACATGAAAAAGCTGTCTTTGACTATGCTCCTAAGTGGTATGACATGGTTTTTCCAATCTATTGATAAAATGTCTGAAAGTCATGTCTGCCCTAATCTGCCACAATTCCAAACCAGGATATCCCACCAAACAGTCACTTCAGAACCAGACATTTTATGGTGTTCTGAAATAACCAGTCTGCAAACTCTTCCTCCTGGTCTTCTCTAAACAAATCGTCTTTGGGCAGACTAAATCATATTCAGCCAGAACTTCCAGTGAATCCAATTCATGCCCTTCACCAAGTCAACTTAACTCCACAGTGGTTTGATATCAGAGGTAAATACTGCACTGGGGCCTGAGATCTAAGACCACCTCCAGGGCATGTTCACAAAGGAACCGATGCACTGACATGGGTTTTAGGCATGTAGCATTTTGTTAGACTCCATTTAGACTGATTTAAATAGCAAATTGGAGGTCTGTGTACACAAAAGGCAGATATCAGAACTGCCTTTCTACTGAACCTCTGAGGACAATTTTTTCATATCTATGTATTTTATTTTAAAAAATGCATGACAATGCACCCAGTATGAATGAACCCTCAAGCAAATGATTGTAAATTGTTCTACAAGTGACTCATGTTGTTAAGACACTTATGATCTGGGTGGAATTCAATGTTCTCATTATTAATCCCGGTCTAACAATCGCCTGATTTTCACATTCTTCGGCTCTCCTTCCGATCTGCCTCATACATAGCATTATTACAGGTGTTCACTCATTAGTCTACTGGCTGAATGCCCAATGAACTTTTAATACAATCCTTTCAACACTTATTTTCACAATAAATAGCACAGCAAAGCCTTCCTAAAAATGGAAGGTATTCATATGTCCCATTCCAATTGGCTGTATCTGTACTACACACCAGCACTTCTGGATTTTCGGTTAGCCATAGGTAACAAGGGGAATGATGTGCATATCTCCACCCACTATCCTGAATAAGGAATAATGCCATTATTTTGAGGATATATGGTGAAATAAGATGTGAATACCTTCTATTCTAAAGCATAGATTATACACTTTTCCTACCTTCTACCACGAGTGGAAGAAAAGAAAATTGCTTGATTCCTCCCATCAACGCAGTTGGTGTTGATGTGAAAATTCCCCCACCCCCAGCGCTACTGTGTTCTGCCAGTGGCAGAGCCTTCCCTGTCAGCAGAACACAATGATCACTGCTGGCAGCTATAGCCGCCAGCAGTGCTCACATGCAAAACACCTGACATCCTGGTTGTACTGAAGTCGATCGATGGATCGACTTCAGTACAACCAGCCTGCCCATAGATGGATGGAATAAGCCAGTCCCTGCTGAGCCCACCAAGATTCACTCTATATAGGGCTGGCTTAAGAATACTTTACTGTGCTAAGCACTGGTTCAGTAGAGGGCTTTTTGGTTCCTATATTCACTTCTCACAATATTTTTTATAGGTTATACTTTCACTAAAATTGTAAAATATAATTTATAACAATGTACAAAATTTTGTTTTGGACATATAATAAAAGATATTAAAATGCTTCATTGCTACAGATTTCATAGATTATCAAAGTTATTCTGGTAATGTTTGTTCAATTCTCCCTTGCCACTAGTACATATAAAAATTGATTACATTATTTTGATGAGTCTGTTTGTTCTTTTGAAGAATAGGTGGCTCAGCCCAATCAGTGTTACTATACACGAGTGGTTCAAGGCAAGCAGTGAATTTTCAAGAACCCCTTTATTATGAGAAAATACATGAGACATTTCTTGTGCTAGTACAATTGTCTAACATGACTTTTTTTTGTTTGATTTACAGTCCTTACAGAACCGCAGTTACAATCACTTTGCTGCTATCTATTACCTACTAGTCGAGAGGCTAAAATCTCACCGAAGCAGCTTTCCAGTAGAGGCTCGGATTGACGCTCGCCAGCGACGACCAAGCACAGTTGCTGAAACAGACAGTCGCCAAGGTAAAAATTACATCTTATCATTTTTTTTATCATTAAAATGCAGCAAAATCAGTACAAAGGTCTATTGAAAATCTTTATGAAGCCTTTACTGTACTCTTCTCCCCCCTTGTGCCATTCATGACACCACTAAAGAGCACCCATCACACACAGTCATCCTGAATGTTATATACTGTCTCACATAATGGACATTCCTGACACTTTGTAAGCTGAAAAAACATGACACTGCTAGAATTATTAAAAATGAAAAAGCCTGTAGAAGCTGGGAAAAATTCTGGTGGTGTTGAGGTCCAAAAACAACTTACAAATATAATTCTAATAAAAATCAATTATTTGAACAATGCCTCACCCTCCTATTCCGGTGAACAATTTAAATTTATGTACATCCCATTACTTTCTGTCTCGGTCTGCAGCCATCTAGTGCTTCTTTCTGTGTCGCTCTGTGTAGTGCTGTTATTAATAAATGTTCCTAGATCTCATGGTTATTAGGCAAGTCTAAGACATTCTTAGGATAATCCATAAGTAAGCAACAACACAGTAAAACCACAAATCTGAGAGGTGAGGGAGAATTTTGACATATCAGGAGGCACAATTCAGATGTCTAGAAAAAAAAAACTTTTTCATAAGTTATGGTCTTATTCATGCCAGCTTCTACATTACAGTGCGACTGGTGTGATTCGGCAGGACAAATGGGACAAGGACAAGTGCGCCGACTGCAACATATCGCACGTGTTTTGTTTTTTTTACGATCTTTATTGAAATGTCATAGTGACATTTCATAACGATTTATTTACCACCGCACATGCAAGGCATAATTGCCTTGTACTGTGCGGCGTTTTAAAAAGTATGGCCTGCTGTATTTTTTTTTTCAGCGCACGGCACCTACATATCACCACGACATGTTAGTGGGTACCTGGCACATAGGAGAAAAGGCATTTTGGCTTTGCCTTGTGGAGGGAATAGCTGCTCAGCACAATCCCACCGGACCTGGTGTGAATGAACCCTTAAACAGCAATTGACATAGACTTCTGGGAGAAGCAGTGTGTATGGCAAATGTTTGCACAGTGCTTCCTATGTGCATTGGTATGTTCGTATCAGGAGTCATAAACTGACTACACTCACTTCCTGCTGAATAGGACGGCTTTTCTGCTGCAGTCACATGATCATCCCTCGTGTTGTAAGAAGAAACAAAAAGGAGCCAATGACATTTCTGTGGGAGCCCCGCCAAAGGAAGAACCATTCTTTGATTATTTCCAATTTAAAATGGAACTGCACAGCATCTGAGCACCCCAAACTAAAAATGCTATTTATTTAATTGTTAATATTAAAACTTCCCCATTGATCCATGTCTCCATACTTTATTTTGCTTAGAATTGATTTTAAAAAACAGTGGCCATCTTGAGTAAGGGCAAAATGATTCATGTAGCATTTACTTCCTGGAATCCATATGCTAGCAGAAGAAGGGTTAAAAATAAGAGTAGTGATATAAAGAGAGGAGCTCAATGACACCACATCCCAAATTTTACAAAATATCAAGAGAAGGAAGAAGAAACAAAAAGGAAAGGGGAGGAGAAAAAAAACTCCTCACATGGAAGAAAAATAGTGGGATTTTAAAGGTGCCATACAATAATAGGACAACCAAAGCTAAAATTTACAATGTTTATTGTTGAACCAGTATTAAAAATAGCAATTTAAAATAGATACATTTTAATGTCCCAACATTGTCAGTTGTACTTGTTCAAAGAAACGTTTCCGGTGTAATATTTCGCAACATGTTTCGCCTATTTCAGGCTTCTTCAAGAGACATTTATATAAAACCTTCAACAACAGATTCATGTTCATTACAAAATATACCAACAGACTACATGTGCTGTGTGCATATATCAAAATGAAGCAAGTTTGAATCACTGCAAATCACATGTAACATCCATATATATATATATATATATATATATATCTATTTCAAAAGTTGATGGAGGGTAGCTTTCCATACAGTTCGTATATATCTCATAAGTGACAAACTGTATGCAAGATGATAATTTAACTGTGGTACAGTTTGGTTGGACAGTAAGTCCTCAAAATGGAGCCTTGCCATCACCAGCAAGGCTCCCATTATCCATGCATCACACATCTGCATCAGAGGCTGGTCATTAGCTCTGAGGAAAGGGATTCGTGCCCGAAACAGGTCAGCCATTTGACCGCGCTGACAGTGGGAACACCTTGCCTGCCGTTGTGGCCATCGTCATTTTGCAATGCTTTTTAGATATAAGCTTCGTCTGCGAGTATGTTTTTATCTTTCACTCCTTTCAATAAACCTTGGATAATGCACTAGGTGTGTGCGCCACCTGTTTTTTCTTTATTTTGGTGGTATTTAATCACCTCTGGGTTTTTATTTTTTTCCTAAACAAACCAAAAACCACTGAAAATTTTTTTTTTTTTTAAAAAAAGTTTTTTCTTAGTTTTTGTTATAAAATTTTGTAAATAAGTGATTTTTCTCCTTCACTGATATGCGCTAATGAGGCTGCACTGACGCTCACTGATAGGCGGCACTGACGCTCACTGATAGGCGGCACTGACGCTCACTGATAGGCGGCACTGACGCTCACTGATAGGCGGCACTGACGCTCACTGATAGGCGGCACTCACTGATAGGCGGCACTGACGCTCACTGATAGGCGGCACTGACGCTCACTGATAGGCGGCACTGACGCTCACTGATAGGCGGCACTGACGCTCACTGATAGGCGGCACTGGCAGGCATCACTGATAGGCGGCACTGGCAGGCATCACTGATAGGCGGCACTGGCAGGCATCACTGATAGGCGGCACTGGCAGGCATCACTGATAGGCGGCACTGGCAGGCATCACTGATAGGCGGCACTGGCAGGCATCACTGATAGGCGGCACTGGCAGGCATCACTGATAGGCGGCACTGGCAGGCATCACTGATAGGCGGCACTGGCAGGCATCACTGATAGGCGGCACTGGCAGGCATCACTGATAGGCGGCACTGGCAGGCATCACTGATAGGCGGCACTGGCAGGCATCACTGATAGGCGGCACTGGCAGGCATCACTGATAGGCGGCACTGGCAGGCATCACTGATAGGCGGCACTGGCAGGCATCACTGATAGGCGGCACTGGCAGGCATCACTGATAGGCGGCACTGGCAGGCATCACTGATAGGCGGCACTGGCAGGCATCACTGATAGGCGGCACTGGCAGGCATCACTGATAGGCGGCACTGGCAGGCATCACTGATAGGCGGCACTGGCAGGCATCACTGATAGGCGGCACTGGCAGGCATCACTGATAGGGGGCACTGGCAGGCATCACTGATAGGCGGCACTGGCAGGCATCACTGATAGGCGGCACTGGCAGGCATCACTGATAGGGGGGCACTGGCAGGCATCACTGATAGGGGGCACTGGCAGGCATCACTGATAGGGGGCACTGGCAGGCATCACTGATAGGGGGCACTGGCAGGCATCACTGATAGGGGGCACTGGCAGGCATCACTGATAGGGGGCACTGGCAGGCATCACTGATAGGGGGCACTGGCAGGCATCACTGATAGGGGGCACTGGCAGGCGGCACTGATAGGCGGCACTGATAGGCGGCAATGATTGGCACTGATGGGCGACACTGAAAGGCAGCTCAGATGGGCACTGATAGGTGGCATTGATGTGCACTGGTAGGCAATGATAGGTGGCATTGATGTGGCACTGATGGGCACTGGCACGAGGCACTGATGAGCACTGAAACAAGGCACTGATGAGCACTGACAGGTGGCACTGCTGGGGCTACACTGATCAGGGCACACTGATCATCAGTGCCCTGATGATCAGTGCACATGTCCCCTCTGTGGAAAGCCAATTACCGGCTCTCCTCTCCTCTCGAGCTGTCAGCGTGACAGCTCAAGAGGAGAGAAATGCCGATAACCGGCATTTCCCTGTTTACATGTGATCAGCTGTGATTGGACACTTCGGCTCTTTCTGTGATTGGTGATCCGCTGTGTCCGAGGGAGCATGCGCGGTGAGAATGGGAGGACGTCATATGACGTCCTCCCCGAATGAGAGAACCACCTTGCGTCCATCATATTACTATATGGCGGGCGGTGGTTAATGGTATTTTCAGAAAAACTGACAAACACGTCCCAGATTGGGTACTACAATCAATATAAGTGCAAAAATAAAGTAGTGAGTACATCTATTGCTGCAATTGACATGGTGCACAAAATATACATATAGTATGAAATAGGAGCTTACCTCTATCAAAACCATTTGAATCACTATGGGGAAGGTGGCAACAACCAAATGCTCATTTAGCAAAAAGACCAACCCGCAAAGGAGGAAATACATGCTTTTAAACATAACCATAGGTTAATATCTAATGGGAGACCACAAGTCATGAAATAGCAGCCACATGCTCAAATTACTAATATCTGCAGAGTCTCACCAATGTTCCACTCTAGGAACTACCATAGCTGGATGCAAACTAAACTAGATGAGTAAACTAATTAAAGCTAAATTGTAAAAAGGCTTTTGTAGGAGTTATGCATGTGGTATAAAGAGGACATTCCCTTCTCTCCCCCATTGATATATTATGCATTGTATATAAACATGTACACTTACCATGTCCACACTGCCTTTCCTGGATTCCATTGCAGGATACCTCTGTACAGCCAGTTTTTTCTCCTGTGCCGCCATCTTGAAAAGTATGTCCTCCTGCATATCCACAAGATGGAATGCATGACATCCTGAGCCTTGTCTTGCACATGTGCTGTATGACATTGCTACTTCATTGCTCTTGTTTTTTTTTTTCTTTTTATATTTTAAGGCCTCTTGTGAGATCTGGCAGAGAGATTTTTTTTTAAACTGCAAATGACTCTAATGCCATTCGCCGCATGCACAGTCTCAGAATCCTGCGAGATCTTGCAGCTTAGGTACATGATTTCTTTGAAGGCAAATAAAAGTAAAGGCAAAGTAAAGTTGCCTTCCCATGGGCATCTGTGCAGCCAGGTCTATGTCACTCCTTCAGGGGAGCCAGGAAGTGAATGCAAAAAGTAAGCTAATTAAAAACTGTGTTTTGCTTGCTTTTTTCTGTTTTCAGCGTTAGATGACTTTACATCACCGTGCAGTGGAAAGGGGATAGATCCACTTTACCAGATGTGGAGTTACCTTTAATTACCTTTACTAATATTAAATAAAAAATAGTCTATGCAGCAATTAAATACTGTATGTATCACATTGAAGTAGAACTTCCCATTAAACTACATTCATATTGCCTAGAGACTCTGAATTCTGGTAAAAGAAAAGCCAACAAAAGGTAGGCTTGCCCAAAATCTATTGATGTAAATGAAATAAAGCCAGTCTATTTGTCCTGGTTATGTAATATCAGCCTGCGTTAGGCAATGTTACTGGAACAATCTTGTACATTGTTATTAAGGGGTGGGGTATGTTGGAAACTATTATAATTATAGCTCTGAGTGACAGATTTATCAGATTACTGACTTCTTAACATACATACACACAATGGACGTGATGTGTAACTATATAGCCTGGCTACTCCATCACTAACAAACAAGAGGCTGTGTTTTCCTGAAACATGCATAAAGGCACATTCATAAGACTAAGGTGCAGGTATTTCTGTGTGGAACTGCATGTCTTGATATACATTCTTCGGAGTGTCATCAATGCTTTTAATTCCATTATGTATTGGAAGTGATGACGGCACACTGTGTGGGTAGGCTTATACGTACCTTTGCATTGCCTGCCACCTGACTAGACATTCGTTACAAATCATTCTCCAAACCCAGATTGGGCTGACATTGGGAGATTGCTGATAGGCACTGGGCTCCCCTGCAACATGGAATCCATAGGAAGGACTTATCAACATGCAAGAAGCTACATACTTCCCTTTGCCCATTCAGTGCTGTGGAAATGTTCGTTTATACCATGCCAGATCCATTTCTGAGAAAATTAAAAGGAACATTTAAATGTAAAAAGCAGACAGAACTCCTTGCTACTTTACAGTAATACTTCCAGCTTCGGTCTGAATTATTCTAATAGTGAGTCACACCAGTAGTAATTGAACCGTTATATCATACATAATAAACTATATATATAATACTATCAATCTGAGCCAGTAAGGACAATTAAAGTTTAAAGATAAGAATTTTAAACCACATTAGTTTATTGAATGTATCCTGACAAATCAGTGTGTGACCTTTTAACGTTTTAGAGAGCAGACCCCATTGGCTTAACCATTTCAAATCGATTTACTTACAGCTGACCTTCAGCCATACAAATCTGGTCTCCTTGTGCATGCAAGTATTTCAAACCATGTCAATGCACTCTATCCGATGATTTTGAAAACTTGCCCACAATTAACTGGCAGAGATCACGTGGGGCGGGCTGAGCTAAAGAGAACTGGGGCTGGCTGCTTTGTGCAGCATTTCTCCTATGTGGTTCTTTGTAAACTGTTTTTATGGCTTTCAGCATTAAAGGCTTTAGGGTTGATTTGCTAAGGCATATAGATTGGTCACTATGCCAGGTAAGTTGCACTTTGTAGGGGATATGTCCCAGAGCTTAGTGAAGAAAGTGCAGCTCTGCCATCATCCAATCGTGTGTGCTTTCTTTTGTTTACCTTGTACGTGATTGGGCTATTCTTTGGAAAGTGTGTGCTTTCTTTAGTTTTCCTTGTACATGGATGGCTATTCTTTGGAAAGTGGAACATCACCACATTCACTAAGCTCTGAGGCAAATTCCCTTGCAAAGTGCAACTTCCCTTGTAAAGTGAACAGCCAGTTTGTCTTTAGTAAATTAATCCAATTTAATCAGCTGGGAGTGAGGGCTAAATTTCACTTTTGGGTTTATCACAGCAATGCACTTAAACTTGAAAGCTGAACCCTAGTCAAACAGCAAAATACACAGATGAAATATAGAAATGACGGCTGTTTTACCTGCAAAGGATTTGCATTTCTGCCCATTTCTTCCTGGAATGTACATAGCTCTGTCAAGCATGTTTCTCTGCTGCATTTCAGTCACTCTTACAGGTTTCTCCTTTACCACCACGCTGCTATTGGACAGTGAAAGAAGCAGCAGCAGACTGATGAGCCAACTCTCTGCTACTCTGCTCCCCTCCTCCTCTCCTCTTGATGGAAGATCTTCCTTCCTGTGGTCAATCTTTTTGCTAAAACAAAAAAAAGTTAGAACATGGGGGGATATATATAAATACGTGTGCTAGAAAAAAAACAAAAGCTGACCGTTTCCCATCTGTCATTACTGTAGTGCAGAGGGGACACTAAAACATAAATTTTAATTGTTTGCTGGAAATGTTCTTGTTCATACATAAGCCGAAACGTGCTTATATTTTTTATTTTTTTCAGTAACCATTTAAAAAAAAAATGCTATTGCCCCCGATCTGTTCCTGACCGTTTAAACACAACTCCATTTACTAAGCTGTAACGCATACGTTATTTGCCATAACAATAGTTATTTTCTGTTCTCATTGGCTCCCATGGTAGAAAATAACGGTCATTATCGTAAATAACAATCGTTCGGGCTTAGTGAGATGACTGTCAGATATCTTGGTGTCTAAATTAGGCGTGACTTGGTAATAAACCTTTTTCACTTTACATTCCAAACTCATATCCAGAGCTGCATGGCCTATTAACCAAACCAACAGGAGGTAATGTTCTGTCAATAACAATAATTACTGTGATAGAAAAGATAAACTGGTTGTTGCACAGCGTCCTGAGCAAATCATCTCCTAAAAAAGAACAAGGAATCCAAGAACGCAGCTGTCAAGATTTCATGTGACAGGAGCGTAGAGTGTTCTGTAAAATCTAAGCTCTTATCTGCATAGCAAGTTCTTTCATGTCTCCAAGCATTAAGTGAACAATAGGTTTTACGCAGTAGCTTGTGTTCGCTATGTGCTGCTTAATCCATTCATGAAATGTTTTCATCTTATCGATGGTGTTGGAAGTAAAAACAACCTTGGTGAAGGTCACAGACTGTCTGTTATGGAGGATAACTGAGGTTTTTTTTAACATGATATTTTAAAGTGGATTTGTTACCATTTCAGCACAATAAACCCATGATAAAGCATATTTTTCACACCACATTGCTAGCGTCGTGCATTTTTGTGCAGAAAAATGCTTATGGCTAGGTTCACACTAGTGTATATATAGTAAACCGCAGGGTTCATGCTGGCTAGGGCAGTGCTGGCTCCGGCAGGGATGCGCATTTCAGTGCATCACACTGCTTTTTCTTTCTTTTCTTTTTTTTTTTTTTTTTTTTTACAACTTTATTTGAAGTGCCCCATCATTACACTTTATTCATGACCCTGCACAGCAGCGACATGCAGCACCATCCAGTGTAATATGGAAAATTTCTCAGCACTGCACATTACGCCAGCATTGTGGTGTGAAGAGGGTACGTAGAATACCATTGCTTTCATTGTGCCTTTGCTGTTCCTTGTGTTTATCCAGTATGGAAAACCACAGGTCACCCTACACAGTGTGAATGGGCCCATAGGCACAAGATGACCATCTGTACAGTTAGTTTTAATGGTCATTCACTGTCAGTACATGAGATGGCTAATGATGTTATTAAATATTGTATTCCAAATCAGTATAGGCCGATTATTGACTGACTGACACATAGGAAACAAGGGACCTTGTTTTTTGTAAAGGTGGTTTTCTTGAGACCCCGTCACCAGACTATTCACTTGAACAAAATCTTCCCATAAGACTATATGTGCTTCAACATATTTTATGCATGGTATTTTACCTGTTAATTATTAATTTACCTGTCCATTATGTAGGCATGCAAAACGCTGGTGACTTCTGCTGGGTGCCATCATCTTGAGTGAGATGTCACTAGCCCCAACTGACTCAAAGCGGTCACTTAAGTGACATTGTAGTATTTCACTTTGCTTCTTCCCCATTCCCTGATCCAGGGAATATCTGATTGCCTCTGAGGATCAGGAAGGAATTTTTTCCCCTGCAGGAGTAAATTGCTTTATGCTTTGCTGGGTTTTTTTTTTTGCCTTCCTCTGGATCAACTGTGGGTATAGGATTATAACTTTTTTTTTTTTTTTTTTTTTTTTAATGGTTGAACTGGATGGACTTTTGTCTTTTTTTCAGCCAGACTAACTATGTAACTATCAGCTACATAAAGATAAAAAGATATAGAAAAATGAAGGGAAGGGGCAGAATAGCATGGCCATGGAGGCTAGGACATGCATGGTGGAAGGGGGACGGTGCTAAGGAATTGACTGAAGTAGTCACATTTTCTGGCAAATTCAAAGGCACTATATTACCAACTAATAATTAACTATAATAACAACACGATTTTTACTGAAATGCTGATGTTTCTGTGCATTTTTATAATACATGACATGTATTCATTATTTGGACAATAGTAGCCCTTTAGGACTGACTTCAGAGTAACTTTGAAGTTAATAACTTTGGCTGTCATTGCATAACCTTGACTTTCTCAAACTGATTCCATAATCCTGGCAATTTACATACACAAATGTTAATAGCATGTGTTAAATTAGTTGGTAATTTTTGAGTAAAAGACGCGTATAAAAATAATCCAACACTGTTAGATCTGCCATAGCACTAGATGTATATTAAATTTAACACCGCAGATGCTCCATTTCTTACATTTAAATTCCTTATTCATAGTGTGACTAGTTCTGAAATAATCGTAAATAACAATAATTGACCTTTATGAGTCAAAGATTCATCTGTTTACTGTGAAATATTACTAGGAACGGGTAGGCGAAATGATGCATTGAATGACAGTCTGAATATACGCAGTGTGCGAAAGGTTACAGTTCATTAGATTAGATGCATACAGTTTTGTATTGATTTTTAAAGCAGAATGGTGTTTCCATCGTGGAAAAATGGATTGCAGCTAATAAAATGGTTCTCATACCTTTTATAGTCTAGAAATCAATTTTATAAAGTGTTATTAACACTATATAGAATTTACACAGTGTATATTAAAAGTAACAGAAATTAACTTGTCAGTTACAGTTAATCAAATTTATGACTCTGATGGTCCTGGATTACTGCACAACAGACAGTAGTCCTTAGTGTACTGGGTTCTCTGCGCAGTTGCAGATATTTTGTACATCTCGCTGACATTCCTTAAAGTCTTAAAGTGCATCTCTAGGCAAAACCTCGGGGAAAGGTCAGACCCTCTGTTCAGGTTTTAGTCCATTACTGTCCCCGATGGACTTCTATAGCTAAGCTCCGAAGGTGGGGAGAAGTGCATCAAGTGTTGTGGTCTGGGAGGAGCCAAGGTTGAGGCCGCTCATCATTCTTACCATACAATGGGCTATTCGAAGTTTGACATCTGCACATTTCCTACACAAGTGACTTTTATTTATTACAGGTACTTTTATAGCGCTGACAATTTATGCAGCGCTTTACTTACATATATATTCACACTATATTGCCAAACGTATTGGGACACCCCTCCAAATCATTGGATTCAGGTGTTCCAATCACCTCTATGGCCACAGGTGTATAAAATCAAGCACCTAGGCATGCAGACTGCTTCTACAAACATCTGTGAAAGAATGGGTCACTCTCAGGAGCTCATTGAATTCAAGCATGATAGGTTGCCACCTGTGCGATAAGTCCATTTATTAAATTTCCTTGCTACTAAATATTCCACGGTCAACTGTTAGTGGTATTATAACAAAGTGCAAGCAATTGGGAACAACAGCAACTCAACCATGAAGTGGTAGGCACGTAAAATGACAGAGCGGGGTCAGCGTATGCTGAAGGGTACAGAAGTTGTCAACTGTCTGCAGAGTCCATAGCTAAAGACCTCCAAACTTCACGTGGCCTTCAGATTAGTACAACAGTGTGTAGAGAGCTTCATAGAATGGGTTTCCGTGGCTGAGCAGCTGCATCCAAGCCTTCAATCACCAAGTGCAATGCAAAGCATCAGATGCAGTGGTGTAAAGTATGCCGCCACTGGACTCTAGAGCAGTGGAGACGTGTTCTCTGGAGTGATGAATCACGCTTCTCTATCTGGCAATCCGATGGACATGTCTGGGTTTGGAAGTTGCCGGGAGAACAGTACTTGCTTGGCTGTATTGTGCCAAATGTAAAGTTTGGTGGAGGGGGATTATGGTGTGGGGTTGTTTTTTTCCGGGATTGGGCTTGGTCCCTTAGTTCCAGTTAAGGGAACGCTTAAGGCGTCCACATACCAAGACATTTTGGACAATTTCATGCTCCAACGTTTTGGGAACAGTTTGGGGTGGAGATGGCCCCTTTCTGTTCCAACATGACTGCGCACCAGTGCACAAAGCAAGGTCCATAAAGACATGGATGAGCGAGTTTGGGGTGAAGGAAGTTGACTGGCCTGCACAGAGTCCTGACCTCAACCCGATAGAAGACCTTTGCGATGAATTAGAGCGGAAACTGCAAGCCAGGCCTTCTCGTCCGACATCAGTGTCTGACCTTACAAATGCACTTCTGGAAGAATGGTCAAACATTCCCATAGACACACTCCTAAACCTTGTGGACAGCCTTCCCAGAAGAGTTGAAGCTGTTATAGCTGCAAAGGGTGGGCCAACGCAATATGGAAACCTTCAGACTAAGACTGGGATGCCTTTAAAGTTCATGTGCATGTAAAGGCAGGCCGAACAATACTTTTGGCAATATAGTGTGTGTGAAGAAAATTGTATTTGTGGCTTCATTTGGAAGGTTTATTTGTAATTTAATTTGGCAATGACTGTAAATATAATCCAAGGATTGAATTAGGAGCACTTAAGAGTTTACAATAATGCTAGAAAAAGAAGCTTCAAGAACTGGATCTAGTGAAGGAAAAGAAGCTTCTTAAGATTTAAAACCAAACACAACTGTGCTAAAAATGGAAGTGCAGGCCAGATACTTCTCATCTTTATATAGTGTTTGGAAACTTGTAGAACCTGTGTTAGGTTTTTACTGATGTCAATCCATTGGCCAAAATTCTACACATCAGAAACCTGACAAGGTTCTAGTCCTTCCCATTGACTATTCAGAATTAAAAACAAATTTGCTTAGAGTCCATTTTTAAAACATGAACCTTTTAATGAGCGGTATTTCCATGTTTGTCAAGGTTGCTGCACATTACTACATTTGCATTATATTGCCCCATTTCTATATATTGTCTCTTAAGGGAGGGTGTTGGAGTCTGGTTATATCGTAATAATGTTTCCATTACCGTCTTATTGAATTTCACTCTAAACAATGTTTCCTATAAAATGTGAATACTTTTTCCAATAAACATAAGCCAATATGCAACATTGCTGGTGAGCTAGTATACTTATAGGGTTTATTGAACTCCATAGTGTACCAGGACTGTGAAAATGGCATATTGCCTTGATGCCATTTGGAAATATTTATTGAACTGACCCTGTATTGCCTATTTCTCAATAGACAAGCACAGTGGTGTCTCCAGTGAACCTCATGCCACAAAATGTGAGATTGATGAGAGCGCCTGTACTCCCAGAAGCCTCCACTGTAGAGCCATTCTCATACCCACAAGGCAGCTGCCAGGCTGAAACAACATTCCTAGAGGAGGAAGCAGTGAATACACCATCAGTAAGTATTTAATCATCTTATATCTTTAGTAGATTTTTGTTTCATAAAGATTATTTAGTTTAGTGCAAAACACTCAACTACATTTATTATGTGCATTGATTATTACCTTTCCCATTATTACATTTTAGATACTTGTCTAAATATATTGGTTTACTGAAGGCAAATAGACTAGAGTAGTGTGCAGTTGTACTCATTTTTCCCAGAGTTTAGTGAATGTGGTAAATCTGTTGATTTCCATCACCCAATCATGTGCAAGCAAACATTTTTATTTTCCATGCAGCTGATTGGGTATTCTTTACAAAGTGAAGCTTCACCACATTCACTAAGCTCTGGGGAAAATGAGTGCAACTACACTTGTAAAGTACACAGTCTGTTTGCCTTTAGTAAATCAACCCCATTATCACCAATGTTAACTTAAAGCCCAGTTGAAATCTCACTACTTGTTTTATTTTTGTAGTCTTGTACCCTCAGATGAAATGATTTATGCAATGAAAGGCCTTAAAATACCTTTTTATGTCAGGGATACTGCTGCTTCCAACCCTCACCCTGCAGTACTCTGTACTGGCATGGGTGAATAACAGCCACACCCCCCATCACAAGTGTCTTGACACAGATTTGTATTGTAGAAAAGGGAGGGGGTTCATCTGACCAGGTCTCCTACATTAGAGTGCATTGGGTCTAATTCGCACAGTCATATTGAGACTCTGCCCAGTACTGTAACAGGAAAATGGAGGTAAGGCTATGAAAGTGGTGCTTGTTAGTACAAGTCGATCTGACTGCACTGTCTATCTGTATCTATCTATATCTATCTATCTATCTATCTATCTATCTATCTAGTTGGACTTCAATACAATATTTATTTTTACAAATGTAATCAAGTGTTGAGTAATTGGGTCACCCTTACAGTTGAACTAAACCATTGGCAAAAAAAATTGTACCCCCCAGGAGCTTTTAGCCATTATGTTCTAGTATGGACAGCATTTTGGCACATGATAGATTCACCTACTAAAGGAATCCCCTCCAGCGCTGTGATGTCAGCACTCCCCTCCCTTGCTGGTGATTCCATCTTCATCCAGTCTTCTTCGGTTATCTGTTATAAATAAATAAATGCAGATAAAAAAATGTGCTGGTGCCATGCAAGACTCCTGCAGACTGTTAGTGTGAGCTGTCTGCCCGTACATCATTCAGGCAGGCAATGTTGCACTGACATGAAGAATCAATGAACTACCACAGCACTCAACAGTTGTTGTGATCAGTTGTTGAGAACTACAAATCAACATCCGCAAAGGATATCGGTACTTGTAGCTGATTCATTCACAGAATTCTGTGAATGAATGACGCAGTCATGTGGGAGGAGCACTTTTCAAAAATTGACAGCTGGTACAGGGGAACATGTTCCTGAAGGTGAATTTATCCTTTAATTGGCTAGGCCACAATGACATAACTCTTGCACATGGGAATTACTTTCCTCCCAGCACATAATCGTGCCAAGACACTACACTGAGGTGTTCATGAGTGGCTCGTTGTACACAAACAGGAAATGTGTTAACAGGCAGGTGGAAGCATCTATGAGACTGTGAGACATCTTATAAGACTCTTCTGTCTTAAAAAAGTAAAATAAAACAGCCTGCCTTTCATCACTTTTTAAAAAACAGACTTTCACCTTCATTCGTAGACAGAGAGGGATATGGAACAGAGAAGAGTGCTAAGGACAAAAGCTACAGTAAGTCATTGGGGTTGATTTACTAAAACTGGAGAGTATAAAATCTGGTGCAGCTGTGCATTGTAGCCAATCGGCTTCTAACCAGATTGTTTAGCTTTGACAAACATGGCAGCTGATTGGTTTGTATGTAGAGCTGCAACAGATTTTTTCACTCTCTAGTTTTAATAAATCAATGCCATAAACTGGCTTTGAAATACAGTGCACAATGTTTTTGTGGCCCTTGGGAATAGGAAAGGGTTCAAGGGGGCACATGCAATAAAATGTGCTTGTGTTAGTGGAATACCATTTTTTTTTTCTTTTTTTTTTTTTTTTTCTATTCAGTCGGCAATGGGGAGGTTATGATAGGTACATTAATGTTGCACTGATGAACAATCACTTGTAGAGTCGTGATAGTTCAGCTGCAGAAAATCTCAGCTGAGCCGCTGAGAGCTGTAAAAACAATGTGTAATATCCTGTATTTTTAGCTTCGCTGCGGGGATCCTCTCTGAAATGCTGCTGCTGCTGCTACACACACAGGGAGCAGCAACATCTTTTATAGATTTTAGAGTGCTCTAGAGGAATATTAAATACATACATATTTATTTGTCAGGTTAACAAGGCTTTGGTGGGACACTGATAAGTAGCCATGGTCACAGTGTAAATTTGTTGTTGTAGAAGAACTGTGGCTCTATAAAACATTATGCCTATAAGAAGATAAAACCTTCTGACCTTTTTGGATTTAGCCTTTGGATTTTTATAGTTAATCATCCCAATCTTTAAATGTTGAAATAAAAATGATCAGGATCAGACCAGCATTGGAGGATTATAATGCTCATTGCTCTACTGTTGTTTTTTTTTTTTGTTTTTTTATTTTCATGTAGCTTAAAGCAGACCTTGCATAAAAAAATTAGAGGTCCACTTATTATTGAATGCCTCCAACCCCCAGATTAAAAAATGCTAAGTTAAAGAGAAAAAAAATACAATACAATATTGGAAGAAATGAGTAAATCTTACCTTACGGCTGCTTTCTGGAGGTGAAGGTGATTTCAGTGGGCCTTTTTTTGAGAACCTAGGAAAGATGAGTACTCCAAATCCTGTGATAATGTGTTCTGGAAAAGCCAAGGGATCCAATTCCCTCAAGAATGTCTTTCTGCATATCATAGGAGATGGCCCAGTGTCCTTACCCTCGCCTAGGAGAGCCCCCAGAAGTCAGAGCAAACTATTTCCCTATTGTAGGTTATGTTAAACAAATCAGTTCACTATAGACAATGTTGTAATAATTTGCAATTTCTTTGTGTGTTTGATGTTTGGATTTTTTTGTGCAATGTTGCTTTACATCTTTTATTATTTTTCCACTTTCAGTTTATTTATTTTTTTCTATAAACCTAAAATAATGAGGTGAATAAAAGGGAAGGTTTATGGCACAAGAATGGGTTCAGCAAAGTTTGAAAGAAGCTTCATATCCCTTCAAAGCCCATTGCATTCTTATGGGTCAATGCACACTGGGCTTAAAAAAATGTTGTTTCTAAAGCAGTTTTGCATTTTGCCTGTAGAAGCAGCTTGATATTATCCTATGTGTGCATGCAAATTAGGACATTTAGGGGCATATTTTAAGCTCCGCGTTTAGTGGCAGAAAAAAAAATCCTTCTGGTTTGCATTTTTGAGAGGAGTTTTCTGGCATGTTTTCAGTATTTCCATACAAAATCTACTTTAGCTTGCATTAGAATAATTTCACTTATGCTGTTCTTTTTTTCATTCCTCCTTTGTGCAAACATTGAATTACTTTTCACTGCTTTTAAGTGCATAAAATCATCCCTAGAAAAAAAAAAAAAAATCTTATATTTCACAGGGTTCTGGTTTCTTGGTCTGTCTAGCAGAGGAAACGTGACATTTGGAAATTATTTAATTAGAAGACACGTACAATTTGGTTTTCATAAGGGATGCTTTAGAGCTAATAGTTTAATTTATGTACTCATAACATTCACATTCCTCCTGTGAGAACACCACTGCATGGACAGCCATTTAAAGGAGACAGAAACTTGTGCTGGCATTGTCAAGGGTGGACAGACGTTACGCAGTGAAGGAGGCCCCCTCTGGTTTGGAAGTTCATAGGATCGGCTGCTTGCAGATGCATTTTTCTCTGGAACGGATTCTTAGTCACATCCTGGAGAGGAATGATTAAATTCCCAAGTCTCTGCCACCATTTCCTGCTTGGTTTTCTGTTAAGCAACTTCCCTGCCAAAGACATTGTTGTCATGTCTTACTGATATGGGATAGGTTGCTTTGATACAAATCAGAAGTTCTTAATGTAACACATTTTCTGTTAATTACATGAATGTGATGCATTTGCATGGTACAGCCAATTGACTTTGGTGGCCACTTGGCATATTCTGTCAACAAATGCCACTGGATATACGCAATTAGCTTTTGTGGGTTACACAGAGTTCCTCACATTAGTTACAAGCATTTAGGTTTGCAATGTTAAGATCTTTAGGCAGAACTAATTAGGGACGTGAAAATTGTCACAAACTAGGTATGGGATTTACAGATTTTAGTTTTCTTTATTTCCCAATCTAGCAAGACTTCCTGTTCACACACTTGCACCAAAGTACTCAGTTTAAGTATGATTTAATAAGGGTCACTCATTGTAGGACAGAAAAAAAAATATTATTATAATACAGGCTTTGTATAGTGCCAACAGTTTGTGCAGTGCTTTACAAAATGAAGGCAGACATTACAGCTACAATACAATTTGGTACAAAAAGAATCTGAGAACCCTGCTCATTAGAGCTTAAAATACAAGGAGAATACAAACAAACGTTTGGTGGAAAGTACCACTGTAGTGCTTATATGGCACTGCAATGTAGCTTGACTTCATTCTTTCACCATTAATGAATAAGTATTACATTTAGTTTGGATATAGGGTGGTATGGCTGTGGATAAAACTGTAATACTAGACTTGACATCAAACTATTTTATAGTGCAGACGTTTCTCACTGTTATTTTGCTCCATAGTTCCCTTGCACAGAGCTTCCCCAAGCAAGTCCATACTTACCTCCTCCAATAGCTGCAGCCTCCTACACTGTCTACACCCTGACCAGTAAAAATCGAAAGCCAGGTTTCCCATGCCTGCGCCCCACATCTCATAGAATTAAATGATACATTGCTGCTGTTCTATGGGTATGTGGCATTCAAGTCTATGTGACATTTGTGCGCAGGCATGAGCAAACGGGCACTAGATTTTTACTGCCTAAGTTGCAGCATGGAGAACTACAGCAGTCTGAGATTAGAAGGGGGATGGAGGAATTTTTGTTAAAATAAATGTACTTCACAGTGGGATAGTTACCAGTATGCATCTAAAAGCTGTAATGAACTACCTCTCCCCTCTATACTATGCAAGCATGATCCATTGTCACAAATCCTATGTCCTCCCCCAATGTCCTTCCCTTTTCAGGTGTGCCTCTCCTTGAGCTTCCAATTAACTGTTTATCTCACTGACCCAGTGGTTATGTTAACAAAACCAAAGCAACAGAAACTGTGAAAATCGGGATGCTAGAGAGTGATTCTAATGGCATTTCATGGTTCGGAGTCTGAAGAGCTGTGCTGCAAAAGAAACCCTAATGCAGTCATGGCTAAACCCATCACCCTTCGCCAATACCAAACTAAGCAGATTTACATAGAGAATAAAATAAACAAAAATCTGTGCTAAGACAAAGTGCTAATAAATAGCAGCTGAACATTGTACCTTTTATACCAGGCAACTCATAAACAATGTGCAGATAAAATGCAGCGCTTACATGAAAATATAAAGTACATGAAAGTAATAATAATTCAAAATGTTCATAATAAAACAAAAAATCAAGAGGACAGTCCCCAAATGCCGTGATGAGACAGGAAAACTTCCAAGGATAGCTGATGTTTCACCAACCACTTGCATGCAAGGCTTACCGAAAAATATGACCCCCTGTTAACAGTGGTCAATAACGCTTTTGTTATGGAACAACCAGGGGCGGACTGACCATTTGGAAACTCGGGCACTGCCCGAGGGCCTGGGGTCAGTAGGGGGCACCATGAGATGCCCCTGGTACCTTTTTTCATAGGCTTTTTTGAGTTTGGGCAAGGACACAGGGGCCCCATGATCCCCTTTTGCCCGGGGGCCCCATGAGTTGTCAGTCCACCCCTGGGAACAACCAGAAAGGCAGGCAGGTGGAATCTTTCTCTGGATCTCCAAAAGAGAGATGTTGATGGTCCTCCTATGCCAATCCCTACATGTTTAATACCACAAGTTTTGGTCTCATACAATTTATCTGGAGTGGTTAAAGCCACCTTATTTAGGGATTGGCATAGGATGACCATCAACATCTCTCTTTATTGACCACTATTTTTCTGGTAAGCCTTGCAGCTATCCTTGGAAGTTTTCCTGTCTCATTACGGCATTTGGGGACTGTCCTCTTTTGAATTATTTTATCATGAACATTTTGTGTTATTACTTTCATGTACTTTATATTTTCATGTAAGCGCTGCACTTTATTTCCACAAGATTTACATAGAGGTCTTCTATAAAGGGTTAGCTAACTGTTCATTCCATTGCCCTCCTCCTCCCTGCCTTGTAGATGGGAAGACGGAGAAGGCAGGAAAAATACAGCACTACATGGCAAGGTATTGAGGGCACAGTAATGCATATGGAGACTTGTGGCAAACATCAGTAGAGGTAAACTAACCCTTTAAAGGGAAATTTAACTTTTTATTTTAAATTAGTTAAATACATTCTGAGTGCATCAAAACAAATGGTGCTGAAAGCCTTACAGGTTGCTTTCTTTAAAAAAAAAACAAAAATCTTTCTATCTTTCTACAGAGGTTCAATGCGCCCCTCTGTTGGGTCAGACCAATATCATACCTTATGCTTCCTTCTGACTAGAAAGCTCTAGCTGAGACTCAGCAGAGGGCAAGCCAAACACCTACAGAGATACCACTGCTTGCATGAAGAGTTCATTGGGCCCTTCTCTGCAGCTGCTGGTAGGACACAGGCTGATCTCCTTAGGCTGTAGCTTCTTTCTTAAAAGTAACAAACTAAGAATTTGAACATCTTTTATTTTTATTTTTTAAAGTATGTATTCTAATGCAATTATGTATATAGATATATTTGTTCAAATTAGCATATGTATGAAAATTAACGCTGGCAAAAAAGTAGACCACCTGCCTACAGTAGCCATTTAGCTTAATTTATCCAGGTAACGCCTCCATTTTGTATACACTTGTATATTAAAGTCAAAATTTGTTAAATCTTTTAGGTTAATGGGTGTCTGTTGGATCCCCTGCCCCCTGTGACAGTACGGAAGGGTTGCCAGTCCTTGCCATCGAATATGATGGAGACCTCTATTGATGAGGGTATAGAGACAGAAGACGACTCTGAGGATGATCCTTCTGCAACATTTGCAGCATTTCAAGGCAGGCATAGTGGTCAAAGGCGGCACACGCTAGCAGAAGTTACCAACCAGTTAGTAGTAGTGCCCAATATGGCATCAGACATGGAAGGTAAGGACTGTGAAGCGGTGGGTAAAAGTGGATGTTGTGTTCTATGAACAATATTGGGTATTTTGAGATCATTTTTGAACAATGAATTTATTGCAGGTGCACCTGGAATGATTTTAACATAATGCACCTGATTACTGTAAAAAAAAACAATGGTGCCTTGATTGTTGAAGCAGGAAAATTTATCTTAAGAGGCTTTCTTTGTATTAAAAAAAATTTTTTTTTTTTTTGTGATAAAGCTGATTTTTTTTAAACCACTTACTTCCTTTCCAGTAGTGCAATCGAAGGGCATGTTTTCCAGGTTCTCCTCTGCCACGCTTAGGTCTGAAGTGGCTGTTAACTTATGATTTATTACACTTCGCTTCTGTGTCAATAACTCAAGTAAAATTATTGAAACTCTTCCACACATTTTGGATGGAGTAGTGAGGGGTTCGAGCCCATGTCGTTCTAGATCCTTTTTTTTTTTTTTATGTCTCTCTCCACACTGGGAAGATTCACCTTTTCTATTTATCCTGGTTATTTCCTTTACCAGGAAAGAAAGTGATGGGAAAATCCTAAATTTTGTGCTCTCAATAAAAAAAGGAACTCAAGGGAAATCTTAATTGATATTTCTTCTCACTTCAAGTTGCATGAACAAGACAGGTAAAAGAAAATCTCCCCAAAGGGACAAAGATGGCAAAAAATGACTGGGGTTTTAGCAAATATCTACTTTGTATAAAATGGAAAAAAAGTTTTGCCTTTTGGTATACTCTAATATGATTAATTACTCATGCATTTTGGATTATGTAATCAACTGGTTTAAAGTGGTTCTTATGTTAAAGGACATTTTTAATGAGAAAAACACGTAAGCTGCAACTGCAGACCACCTCCTGAAAATAATACTTGTCTGACTGTCCCTGGCTTTAATACATGGAATAACAGACCCAGAACAACCAGCAACTAATTCCTGATGAGAACTCCTAATTTGCAAACTCATGTTGGGTCAGGGATTAACAACCTATTGAAGGTATTTTGTAAGTAGATAAAAGTAGAACCTTATGCAAGCCACGGGTGATGCAATTTTCTTTCCTGGAACCACAGGTGGAAGGAAGGAAAAATGCTCAGTCCCACCATCAACACAGTCACTGTTGACAGGGGAATCCCTCCTGCAGCATTATTGTGTGCAGGACACAATGATCACTGCTGGTGGCTATAGCCACAGGCAGTAATCACATTCAAAAAAATCAGGCAGGTTGTACTGAACCCAAACCATCAATCAACTTCAGTGCAACCAGCCTGACCATAGTTGGATAAAATCGTGTCCCGTTCAGCAGGGACTGGCTGAGATTTGATCCATCTATGGCCGACTTTAGTGACCAGCCAGACATGGGCAAGATCTTGTATGGGCCAAAAGGTTGGGATAGACTAAGGCTAGTGTTGGCTGTGGCAGGGAGCTGTGTGATGAGCATTTCAGTGCTGCTTATTTTTTTTTTCAACTTTGACACATCATGTCATTGCAGTGCAGCACAGTGTGCTGTATTGCTGTGTGGTTACAGGCGCTGCAGAAAATGCAGACCTGCTGTATTCTTCTATGCTGCAACACAGTGCAAAATGCACCAGTGTTGTGGTATGAAAGGGGCACATAGGAAATATTTGTTTATGTGCCCTAGAGGTGACCTGTGTTTATCTAGTGCAGAAAAAGCAGATCAGCTCACATGGAGTGACCAAATGGAGCCAAACGGTTCCTAATCCAAAAGTTGCTTTATTCGATTGTTGTAACCTTGCAAAACTCATATTGAGACATCAGTAGATCCCCTTCCTCAAGGCTATAAACAGTATGAAAACTATATCAAAATCTTGGTAACAAAAGAGGATTAATACTACAGTCTTATGACTGTACCAATTCACAAAAAGAACATTGGGGAACTGGAGAGAGTACAGAGAAGGGCAACCAAACTGATACGAGGCATGGAGGAACTCAGCTATAAGGAAACATTAGAGGAACTGAATTTATTCTCTCTTGAGAAGAGGAGATTAAGGGGGGATATGATCAACATGTATAAATACATCATTGGTACATATAGTGAACTCGATGTAGTTATTCACCCTGAGGTCATCACAGAGTGCAAGGGGCACTCTTTACATCTGGAGGAAAAGAAATGTAATCTCCAAACACGGAAAGGTTTCTTCACAGTGAGAGCTGTGAAAACGTGGAGTAGACTCCCTCAAGAGTTGGTTCTGGCCAGATCAGTGGATTGCTTCAAAAAAGGCCTGGATTGTTTCTTAGATACAGACTACAACTGGATACTAACATTTATAGGTAAAGTTGATCCAGGGAATATCCGATTGCCTCTCGGGGATCAGGAAGGATTTTTTTCCCTGCAGGAGCAAATTGGATCGTGCTTTGCTGGGTTTTTTTCCTTCCTCTGGATCAACTGTAGGTATAGGATTATAATTTTTTTTTTCTTTTTTTTTTTTTTTTAATAGTTGAACTGGATGGACTTTTGTCTTTTTTCAGCCAGACTAACTATGTAACTATGATATGAGGGAAAACTATAATGCTAGTCTCACAATATCTTTTTAAGGATATCATTACATATTAACATTACATTTGTTAAATTATACTCTAATAATAAAGAAACAAAACTGCTGTATGTGTCCTTATTGGGAAGATTCAAACTCTGTCTTGGTGACCACTATCACCGGGACTAAAACTGATGGGAAAATCCAACATTTTGAGCTGAAACCCAAAACAGAAATAAAGGGTAGTCTTCCAATGGGGACACTGTCTAAGAGGAGATTCATGTCACATTGAAGTGCCTTCCTCACACTTCCTTTTGTGTTTACAAGACAAAAGGATGTACAAAAAAAAAAAAAAAAACTCTGAATGGGTTTTAACCTTTCCCTGCTCTATCCTGAATGAAAAAAAATAAATGTCTATAGGTGTACTTTGTGTAATACATTGATATAAATTGTTTTCTGACATAAGAAAATTAAAAAAGTATATATAAATATATATTTTGTATAGTATATTATGACATATAACATATATTATTGTGTACACATTTTTGTCAGTATGGGTTATTTTTAACTTTTTTGGAATATTGCTGATTTAGTAAGTCATTATCAATTTATCTCTGTGCAGTTAGGAGCAGGCGATATAATGCTGGCTTGGTAGATGTTCAAGGCGTTAGTGGACATACTGGTGTTATTGTGTACAGTCTTTACCAAACGGTCATTTTCTTTCATAGGTAAACTCTTCAGTATTGGTAACCACCCTTCTCTTGGGAGCGTGGACTCAGAGTATGACATGGGATCTATTCAGAGTGACCTAAATGTCCAGGAGGACTCTGGGGCTTTGACAGAAGTAGCTATGACCAACCAGTCCGTCAGCAGGCTAACTCCACCATACATAGGACTGCGACCTACGAATTTGCCCATGCCAGCTATGGCCTCCCAAAAAAGGGAAGCTCACAATAGGTCTCCTGTAAGTTTTCGAGAGGGAAGGCGAGCATCTGACACCTCATTAACACAAGGTAACTCCAGTTCTGTGGCAAAATTTATATATTAAAGAAGGTATTGTTCCATGCAGTAATTTATTGTAGAATTTTTTTTTTTATCAATTGTTTGGTGACTTTTTTTTTTTTATTCATAATTTAGGAATTGTGGCATTTCGGCAGCACCTTCAGAATTTGGCAAGAACCAAGGGTATCCTAGAGCTCAATAAGATTCAGATGCTGTACGAACAGATTGGACCCACTGAAGATCCAAATGCCATCAATACACCTAATCACTTCCAAGATCTTAATAACCCACAGGTATACTTATAGTTAGTCAGTTCAATGATTAAAAAAAAAAAAAGTTGTTATCCTACACCCAGAGTTGATCCAGAGGAAGGCAAAAAAAAACAGCAAAGCATGAGCCAATTTGCTCATGCAGGGAAAAAAAGTACCTTCCTGATCCCCCGAGAGGCAATCGGATATTCCCTGGATCAACTTTACCTATAAATGGACCATGTCATACTATTAAAATTGAATATTAACCATATAGTGCTATTTACACAGTGATTTTTCATGTTAAAAAAAATTAGCTTGATCTGCATTTTTTTTTTTCTATCAACAGGATTTGTCCACACAACTTCCAAATATGTCTGCATTCCCCAATGGTATGCAGCCCCAGCTTCTATCTAGGCGGCAGAGTCTGGAGACCCAGTATTTACAGCACAGGCTGCAGGTATGGATGTTGTCATAATATATGGATCTATTGTTAATATTCATTATGTATTATTAAAGTGGATTTGCAGGAAAGACACAAACGTCATATGCCTACTCACAGAGGAAGGTTGCTAGCAGTTGTTAACCTGGCCATGGAGAAGTATCAGGGATATCTGATCTTCAAAAGGATTTCTTGTGAATTTCTTTAAATGATGCATGCACAGATAACAAATGCCTGGCTGATTGATTCTTCTTCCAAGATCAGTTCACCAGTAGGTGTCTGCAGGGTAGAAGCTAAAACCAGCCAGATCCTATGTTCTTCATGCCTTTACAAACCTCTGCTTATTGACCCACAATGGAGAACAGAGAACTGTTTGAAGTCTTAGCCATTATCTGTGATGATCACTGCTGAGATGAACTGAATATTATGAGGGGATGTCACATAGATCTGAATCCATGGAACTCAGCCCTTCTAGCTTGCAATGGGAACCTATGAAACCGGGTTCAAATTTACAATAAAAAAGAGGTCTGAATCCTTCCAGCTGAAGATCTCTTATATGCATGCAGCAAAGTCCCCATAGTGCCAGCATTTAAAACACGTAGTGTCAGGTGTAACACCAGAGGAGAAATAAACTCATGATGTGAATGCTGTGGCAAAAATCCATCCAATATTTTGAAAGCAGACTATTCGGCTACTCTTATAACTGCAAAAATGGTAGAAAACAAATCTTTTTAATGGTACTCCGTACATATGCAATTGCATTTTGGGTAGACTAAACAAGGGATATGCTATCCTGTTAATGAAGCTGAGTTACAATGTGTAGTGCTCTGCATTATTATTAAGTAATGACTGAATTTCAATGACTAATACAGAGTTGAAGCCCCTCACTCTGGCAGCTGGAAGTCCGTTGTCGACCAAGATCCAGGTTGTCTGGAAACTGGAAAGTGGTTTTAGGAAATTTAAATAAGGTTCTGCTGGAGGGGATAACCACACAGGCTGAATTGCATAAATAATGTATGTCAGGACCAGGTAACAAGTAAGAGACACATCAACTAGCTCAGTGAATGGATTATTTATTGAAATAGCAGATGCAATATTGTTTCAGAATGGTGGTCCTATTCTTTATCAGGGATAGAACATTCACATTTGAGGAGGACATTATATTTTTATTTTTATATTTCAGGTACTTGTATAGTGCCATCCGTTTACACAGATCTTATATCTGTTATACATTCACCTCAGTCCCTGCCATCAAGGAGTTTACAGTCTAAGGTCCCTAACTCACATTCATACATACACATACTAGGGCCAATTTAGACAGGAGTCATGCAGGCACAGGGAGAACATGCAGATTCTGCGCAGGTAGTGCCATGGTTGGGTTTCGAACTGATGAACTTAGTACTGCTAGGCAGAACATATATACAAGGATTCTTCAAAAAGTTTTTGCACTTTTTTTTTTTTAAAAAGTGCGACCTTCAGATTGAGGATAACAGAGTCTGCCTGAAATTGGTTAATCCTATAAACTGCAGAAGTTTTAATTTTTTATGTTCAAACCAGGTTCACGATTAGTCTTTACAAAGATACTGATGAGTTCTTCTGAAACCAAATTAGCCCTTTGTATTTGTTTTATATAAAGTCACATGAAGCTGTAGTTGTTATTTGCCCATGAGGCAGACATGTAAAATAAATTCACTTTAGTAGCAGTAATCAAAAATTAAAAACAGTAGAGCTTTATTTCCTTGTATTTTTTTCCTGGGTAAATTCCTTTCACTATCTTGAGTAATGTAGAAATCGCACTAGACCACCATGGGATGAGTGTATGGGTAGCCAAGTTTTCGGAAACGGTTTTCAGAAAGTACTTGTGCTAAGTGACAGGAATTCAGGCTTCCTGGTTCTCAGCTTAGTGCCTAGAGCGAGTGGTACAGTGATTGCTAGATTAATTAAAATCTGCATTGATTTGTTTCCTGGTGGACGTGATCAGGAGTTCATACTGACCTTTTACTCTTTTACTTTTCGTACTGTGCTGTCACTGATGGTGAATGTTCCTTGTTCTTATGCAGTCTTTCTCTATTCTATTTCAGAAAGGGAATCTGCTGGTGAAAACACAGAACAGCTGTCAGCTGTATTGTAAAGAAACACCCAGGAGTTTGGAGCAGCAGCTACAGGAACACAGGTGAAACTCAGTGCCAGGCATTAACACTTCCAGGATGTTATTCTGCAGTGCCCAATTGTCTTAGGTGTTATACACTGTATTTTCAATAGGTATTAGCATTATGCTGTGACATACAGAACCATTGTTACCATTGAAGGGGTGTGTTGTTTGCAAGTATAAGTAAAGAACTTAAAGGGCAAGTGCACTGTTACTAAAAACTACACTAGTCTGCCCTCCCTAACCAAAGCCAAACTGCAAATCTCCCCCACCCAGCTGCCTGCCTTGCTCACCATGACAGCCTTCTTCAGCACTGCTTGCACCTGCACAGTGAGCCCTTTAATATAGCTGCATGCCGAAACTTGATACACTCAGAATATGGCCCCATTCCTAGACTATGGGACTTCACTGGCTGTAATGTCATGAAGTTGGACATATACAGTATTCTGATGTAGCGCCACCCCCGCAGAAGCTGCTTGATAGAGTTCTCTGTTCTTCTGCTTCGACTCTGAGAATAACCTTAGCCCCACTAACACACCAGGTTAAGAAAATGGATACTGCTACTGGAAGCACAAATATAGACACCCTGCACACCACTAAGGTTCAGTGTCAAAATGCAAACATGAGACTAGTTGGTGGTAAATGAATGAGCATGCACATAAATGAGTAAGTAAAGCATTAAGTGAATTAAAGTTCACTAGACAATATGTTCACTAGGCTATAGCAGTATAGAAATGAGTTCTATGCAGCTAAATTAAAGTAAACTTAGTAATCCTCAATCTGCAATAAGTAATTGTGTTCGAAAATAGCAACAGCAATAATTCTCAATATCTCCTCTGTAAACAGTGGGCTATAACCACTTTAGAGCACACTCTATAAATTGAATGTCAGCAATGAAATTTAAGACTCCCTAAAGAGGTAACTCTCATTATGGACAACAGGCAAATTTCTTGTCAAGTGGCTATTGAATGAGTAGCCTTTTGCCCTAGTTTCTCAGCTGGCTAGCGTTGGGGCCCAATTTTCATGGTGGTGCATATGAGTACAGTCCCAGTAAAATATGCATGCAGTAAGCAATGCTGCGAGTTAGGTGGCCAGTTCCTATGTGCTCAGTCTCTACTGGCAGCAACAATGTAATGGCAGAAGCGTCCTTTTACTATATATGCGCCTGAAATAAATAAATAAAATAAAATAAATACTAGTCCCAAAAATGTGGCCACAGAGATCCTATTGCTCAGATGTCAGGTCACTTCTGGATCTGCCTGGAATAACTCCAGTCCTCAGCACACAGCCACAGACTTGTAGCAAACTGATGTTCATGCAGGAGCAGTGCTGTGCACACCTTGGTCTCTTCATAGCAAAGGGAAAATTCTTCTGTATTCACCCTGTCAAAATACATCTCTCTCTCCCTATATACCAGCTTTGCAATGGGAATTGTAGTCTACAAGTCCATTAACTACCATAGTAAAGTTTCATTCCTGAACTTAATTTCCTATGATTCAATACTGCCAACCATCAAGTTTCTTGAGCTCTTTCTGTTTGTTAGCTCCCCTGGTGGATAGAGGTGAGGTAGTATTACCCCATTCAACTGGAGTTCATTGGAAAGACAGAGAGCACTGCAGCACAGTGTCTTAAATCGCTCTAAATCTGCACTTGGCTACACTGATAATGATATAGGTTTTACCCATTGAGCAAAGCATGCACTTGAATATGAAATGACAAAGTCCACAGGCATGTATGCTAATTTATTCAATACAATATAGTCCTTGGACATACAATGGGTTTTGCTCTGTAAACTGGTAACACTTATATCCTTAATTATGTAAGCATTAAGTAAGCTTGCACAACAGTAAGAAGACAAGCATACACAATTTTCATGTGTAAGAGCATAAGAATTTACACACAGCTGTGTACTGTGAGGTTTTGCCAGATTAGATATACTTTGCAGGGATTTTTTTTTTAGGTAGGCCTCACACTACACTATATTGACAAAAGTATTGGGACACCCCTCCAAATCATTGGATTTAGGTGCTCCAATCACCTCCATGGCCACAGGTGTATAAAATCAAGCCCCTAGGCATGCAGACTGCTTCTACAAACATTTGTGAAAGAATGGGTCGCTCTCAGGAGCTCAGTGAATTCAAGCGTGGTGCCGTGATTGGTTGCCACCTGTGCAATAAGTCCATCCGTGAGGTTTAGTTGCTACTAAATGTTTTACGGTCAACTGTTAGTGGTATTATAAAAAAGTGGAAGCAACTGGGAAAAACAGCAACTCAGCCACGTAAAATGACAGCGTGGGGTCAGCGCATGCTAAAGGGAACAGTGCACAGAAATCGCCAACTGTCTGCAGAGTCAATAGCTAAAGACCTCCAAACTTTGTGTGGCCTTCAGGTTATCACAACGACAGTTCATAGAGAGCTTAATGGAATGGGTTTCTGTAGCATTGGATGCTGTGGTGTAAAGCACGTCGCCACTGGACTCTAGAGCAGTGGAGACGTGTTCTCTGGAGTGACGAATCACGCTTCTCTGTCTGGTAATCCGATGGATGCATCTGGGTTTGGTGGTTGCCAGGAGACAAGTACTTGCCTGACTGCATTGTGCCAAGTATAAAGTTTGGTGGGGGGGGGGGGGGGTGTTATGGTGTGGGGTTGTTTTTTAGGGGTCAGGCTTGGCTTCTTAGTTTTACTGAAGAGAACGTTTAAGGCGTCAGCATACCAAGATATTTTGGACAATTTCATGCTCCCAACTTTGTGGGAACAGTTTGGGATGGCCCCTTCCTGTTCCAACATGACTGTGTACCAGTGCACAAAGCACGGTCCAGAAAGATATGTATGAGTGAGTTTGGGGTGGAGGATCTTGACTGGTCTGCACCTCAAACCAATAGAACACTTTTGGGATGAATTAAAGTGGAGACTGCAAGCCAGGCCTTCTCGTCCGACATCCGTGCCTCACCTGACCAATGCGCTTCTGGAAGAATGGTCAAACATTCCCATAGACACACTTCTAACCCTTGTGGACAGCCTTCCCAGAAGAGTTGAAGCTGTTATAGCTGCAAAGGGTGGGCCAACTCAATATGGAACCCTACGGACGAAGACTGGGATGCAATTAAAGTTTATGTACGTGTAAAGGCAGACGTCCCAATGCTTTTGGCAGTATAGTGTATTTTATTGTTGGTAAATGTTTCAGCTAAAACTCCAACTGCGTGACCAGTTATGACCCCACTAAGTGTGGTAATATCCATTGCCGTATGTGTGGGCAGCTTTGGGCCAAACCATCCAGATTTGTAATTTTTATTTTTGTTGTTTTTAACTTAGATACAGGCATGGTTACAAAATGTTTCAACAGAAGTTGCTACTATCTTCATTGTTGTTGTTATATTATTATTATACAGGATTTATATAGCGCCAACAGTTTGCTCAGCGCTTTACAATATAACGGGAGACAATACAGCAACAATACAGTTCAATACAAGAGGGAAAGGAGGGCCCTGCTCCTTGGAGCTTAATTGTTATATAAATATACATGTTATCTTCAGGCAAATATTTAACTATTAATATTGTTTTAAATCCAACAGGCTACACCAGAAGCGCATGTTCCTACAGAAGCAGCCACAGCTGCAAGCTTACTTTAACCAAATGCAGATAGCGGAAAACACCTATCCGATGCAAGGTCAACAGCTCCCATTGTCACACCAAGAAACGACGCAGCAGAACCAGTTCAGCTTTTCTCAGCCACTGAGTCCCGTGTTGGAGCCAGCCTCTGATGAAATACAGTATGATCCATTTTTAAGTCAGTATCACAAGCTGCATTCCCAACAGATGCAACACATTATACAGCCCAGCCAGCAGCAGGTAGTAACACAGATCCACATACAGCAGCCATCGTTACAGTATGGTTATCAGACCTGTGAATTACCACCAGTGTCAAGACAAGAACCAGAATATACAAACCAATGCCAGTATTCTATGAATTCAGCACAACAAGGCAATATGGCATTAAATGAAAACCAGGGCAGTCCAACAGGACATGATCCTCAGCCATCCTATGAAACCTTAACCCTGAAACGAACCCTTTGACTGTGAGATGATGGAAACTGTTGACTCTCAACATGGTGGTTATGTTTTGGTCAACTAGCCCATTCTCAAATTATTACATCTGAAACATGATAGTAAGGTGAAACATGTAGAAGACAGTAAGTTTAACTGTTTTAATTATTTTCAGTCCAACTCAAGTAGGTATCTCTTTGGTATGACTTCTGTTGTGTAGTCCACCTTGCAGACCTGACTTGTATTGTTGGATTTTCATGTCACCGATCCAAGAACCTTGGAGAAAAGTGACTAAGAGTTATGTGAATCTTCTAGAGAAGAAAACACTGGACTTTTAAAGAAAGCACCAATTTCATCTTTAGCTCAATATGGTGGTCCACCGAGGACCAACAATATGGAGCTTTCGTAAGACAAAGCTCCATTAAAAGCAATATAGTTTTTTTTTTTTTTTTTTTTTTTCCTCAAGGAAACTTTGTAGAGTGAACTAAACCTTAAAATCTAGAACTTATATTACAGTGGATTTTTGGAAACCTTATAAACTAAGCTACTGATAGGCAACAAGCACCTTTTTTTACTGAGAAGCTAAGATATCATTCTGTTTAAATGGATTCAACACTACTGTTTGGAGTTGACTTATGTTGAAGTGAAATTCATTAAATGTAGAGGTTTGGTATGATGACATAATAAAAAGAAAAAACTGGAGAGCTCACATTGCTGGTGGTCCAGTATTGACTATAAAGAGGATTTAAGCTTCTCATTTTACATGGACAATGTTCTAAGGAAGCCATTTTGGTGGCAGAATGGGATGATTGTCATAAAGTGTTGCAGGCTGTGCGGACATTCTGTCGATGCTTCTCTTCCAGAGACAAAACAGGTTACGAGAGAAAACACAATTGTTACAGAACTGTCCCATTTTTAACCAGAAGAAAAAATAATAATCTTGACTGTGTTTTCAGGTCACAGTAATGCTATATGTTGCTGTTTGTTGACAAAGCTTTGTACATTTGGTAAATCCTTTAGATTTTAGTCAGGAAAACACAAAATGAGCTATAAACTGTGTAATGTGTGGTAGTTTTGTGCCTTTATGGGTTCTTTTTCATAACGGAGTATACTTTTCTTTTTTGGAGAAAAAAACAAAGTTAGACCATACCCCATTTATATCAATGCTACATCCAAAGTCGATTCAGAGTTTGTGTATATGTATGTCTGTTCCACTGTGTGGAATGCAAAAGAGTTTAATTAATGTTTTTGATTGCTCATGTGTAGAAAAAAAAACGTTTTTAAAAAGTATTATAGCAATATTTAATTCTATTTAATGTCATGAACTGTTGATATTAGCCATGGCTATTGATGTTTCATGAAAATGATGAAGTGATGGAGTATTTTACCCTAAAAGCAAATTCCCATATGTCACATGGGAGTAGTGTTTTTTTGTTTGTTTTTTACAGCGTACCTTGGCTAGGGCTAGAAATTCCGTATATCCACCAGTTACTCTTTCACGTGTTGCACTTTCTGCCGAGTCCAGAGTTAAATATAGCCATAGTGTAACAGAATGTTCCATTATATCAGCAAACATTATGTGGGAAGATGAGACGCCAGTAGTAATAAATAATGTACTTTAGATTGACGCGACATGTTTATTCTCAGCCCTTTAACACTAATATAAATTGGCCACCGTTCAAAGCATTATTTGAATTATACACATTTAGGCAAAGTACATGCAGGTCGTCCTCAGGTTACAAACATCCAGCATTATATTGCACCTCTGTTACATGTACTAATGATTTTGTGAGGAGCTCCTCTGAGAGTCTGCTGTCCAGAATGTGCAATTCTAATGAGCTTTTTTCTGAACAACTGAATGTAAAATTGCTGACAACAGTGCAGTTGTTCATGGCGAGGGCCATTGCAGTTGTGTGTGTGGAGGAGCTTTGCCCAGCTATGCTGTTAAATAAAAGAGAGTACTCAGCTTACTGAAAATATGGCATACTGTATGTATAAGGAGTGTGTAGCAAATCTGTAAGCCATGCACCTGCAAATCTGCATCATCTCCATTGTCAGTGCCACTATGAGCAACCCTAGGAAAGGTATAATATTGGATGGTACAAATGGAAACCTTTTAGGTTTAAAACTTTATACATGAAAATACTTTGACATCTGCAATCTGGAGTAATCATTTTTTTAAATAAAATATCAATTCCCAAAACAATGTCATTTTATCAATATGATGTGTGTTTCAAACTGTGTAAACCAATTTTCAAGTTTTTGTTAACGTTTGTTTGTAACTAACACTGTAAAGATGCTTTTGACAAAGCAGATTAAGCCATGACATCAAGACTATATTTGGCCCATGGGCACACATGGTCCACATCCAAACGATCTGAATGTGCTTTGATTGATTAGACCTTGGTAAATCATGTGAAGGTGGGGTCAGAAGTAGCAGTCGTATGATGACTGCATACAATAGATGCTGTGTTTGTGTGACTAGAGTTTGTATTTTATCTGTTTGAAACCTCAAAAGAAAATCGGTTTATTACCAAAATTTCTTTTTATATTTAAAGCAGGATTTGCCTTTTAATGATTTTAATTTTTTAATGCTGTGGCTATGGAAATGTGATTATGACCCTCCTTGTATAATCACTATGATTGACCTGAAACAAACACATAGGAAGGAATTTTTCAGACTTCTGGTTACATGCTTGTTCCAGGTCAATGATTTTAGTAGTAAAGTCATGATCAGGATCACACATCTACATCATGCACCCTTTAAAATCAAGTCTTTGGTGTTGACGTTCATATAGCTGTCATTTAAGTTTACATGTAGGCATCAGATGGTTGCCACAGTTTCAGTGCTTACCATGATACTACGCTAAAAAACAGAGAGCTCAGCTACTTGTGTTAGTCTTTCTGTAAGTTCTCTTCCTATAGTCCAACAGTGTCTGCTAGGCTGCGTGATAGAACATTTGGCCCACACCACTGCTAAATAGATTACCTACAGGAATATATGGAGAAGGAGCATGGTGTGCAAACAGGGTGGGGGAAGATCTCCCCATAGGGGTCCCTGACAGAAGTCTACAACCCATGTGGGATCAAGCCCTGATCCACTTCTCCCAAAAAGAAAACAAATCTGCTTCAGGTAGAGTTGCTCTTTAACCGTTTCAATACCGTGCAATTTTACACCTTCCTGCCCAGGCCATTTTTCAGGTTTCAGCGCTCACACTTTGAATGACAATTGCGCGGTCATACAACACTGTACCCAAACTAAAATTTTATCATTTTCTTCACACAACTAGAGCTTTCTTTTGGTGGTATTTAATCGCCGCTGGGGTTTTTATTTTTTGCTAAATTAACAAAAAAAGACCAAAAATTTTGAAAAAAAAAACACATTTTTCTTTGTTTCTGTTATAAAAGTTTACAAATAAATAATTGTTCTTCATAAATTTAGGCCGAGATGTATTCTGCTACATGTCTTTGGTGAAAATAACCCAAATTAGGATGTATTATTTAGTTTGTAGGAAAGTTATAGAGTTCACAAACTATGGTATAGATCTGAATATTGATCAATCCTGAAGTACTGACAGCCAATCTAATTTCTTGAGGTCCAAGAATGTCAGAATAGTACAGATATCCCCCAAATGACCCCTTTTTGCAGAGTAGACAGTCCGACGTACTTCATAAGAGGCATGGCGAGTTTTTTGAAGTTGTATTTTTTTGTCATAATTTTTTCCGAAAATGAAAAAATGAAAAAAATTATTTTCACTATTTTTTTTTTTTACATACTGTCACCAGTGCAGTACAGCGTCATCATATAACTGGCATGGTGGTGAACAGGGACACTGACTGGTGACAACATGAAAAAAAAAATATATATTTTTTTTTAAATGTTTTTTTTATTTTTTTTATTATTTAATTTTTTATTACATTTTTTTAATTTTTTTTTTAAGATTTTTTTTCATATTTTACTATGACCAAAATAGTACAATGTTACCATAGTAACAGTGTACTACTTTGGGGAAGTGATCAGTATATTTTTTTTTTTTTTTTTTTTTTTTACACAATTTGCTTATAGCAAAGAATTACTTTGCTATAAGCAAGCATTTATCTGAATAACATCGATTCATTCAGCTTTTTTTTTTTTTTTTTTTCTTTTTTTTTTTTTTTTTTTTTTTTTTTTTTTTTTTTTTTGTGCTTAGCTGTGATTTGGTCACAGCTAATCACATGACATGTGCATGTGATTAGCTGTGACCATTCACAGCTAGGCACTAGTATACAATGGATGGCATCATGAATGAAGCCATCCATGTATACAACTGTCATGTGACCTGCTGTGATTGGTCACAGCAGGTCACATGGTACCAGCAACGGGAGCCGGTACTCGGATCTGTCATCAGCCGTGTCCGAGGTGCACGGCCGCCAACAGATCGCACTGCTGCGCCGCTCTGCACTAGCGCAAACGGCGCATGTGCGGGAGCACGCCAAATGGCGTGCACCCGGAATGGAGGAGCACATCTGAAGCCGCCAAACGGCCATTGGCCGGGCGGCTAATGGTTAAAGGATAAATGCATCTTTCATAAAAGCTTATACATTTCCAAACTGATGTTTTAGACCTTTGTAGTTACTATTTATATAGAATCTTTATTTTACAAATCAACATTTACAGAGTACACCAATGAGACAGAGACAGTCTATAAGTAAAATGCTAATTCCGTGCTCTCTTTAGAAAACCCATCGTGCTCTGTAGGTCACGATGGGTTTTCTAAAGAGAGCACGGAATTAGCGTTTTTCTTATAGACTGTCTCTCTCTGAGAGTCTGCATGCATCTATATAGATCAGTGAGGGGAGAAGTAGGCGTCCCTGCTCTAACTGGAAGTCTGTTTTGGGTGTTCCACCTACCAGTTGGGATAAATCAATGCAATAGTTCATATTTGCCTAATTGAATAATAAAACAATCTACATTTTTTTTAAATCCAGAACATAATATAAAAAACAGCATATTAGTATAAGGCCCCAATTTCTAAGTGAAAGAAAGCTCACATAAGATGATTCAGTCTATGCACATCCTGTTGCAATTCCTTAGGTAGAAAGGATGAG